GAACTATTTAATTTTACACCTATTCAAAGTGCTATTGCAGCCATTGCTCATATATTCCCTGATGTAAAGGTGCCATTTGAAGTACGCAAAATGTCATTCACATTATTTGTAATTTATCCATTTCACAATAAAAGAACATGTTTGTTGTGATCAGCTGATATTGCAGCAATGTAATTGAAATATTAAAGTTTTTACTGAGTATCTGAATCATAAGTTAATCTTCAATTACAGTACCTACTCTCAAAATATTGAATTGAAATACTGTACCAGCAGTGAAGCTTTAATAACAAGTGATATAGACGTCAAATGCAGCTTATCTTTTAAGAAATAAAATCACCAAACCCACAAACTTAATTACTTAATGATGTTTTACATACCTTCCTTTCTATTTTAAACATTTTATTATCTGACATAGTTTGTTATTTGAAGTTTCAGATGAAGGTTTTGTCTTTAATTGTTTATACTGAAAGTGATCATATAAATGTGTTGATAACTGTGATATTTGCTATGTCATATCGAAGGAGATTTTGATCAAGGGTCATACTCCAGTTTTATACAATTCTCCTATCATTCAGCAAAGTTTTCAATGCATCAGTATTCAAATTACTTTTCATCATGATTGCAGCTCTTTTCATTCCTTTTTTAAAGTAAAATAGAGTACTGTTACACGAGTCACATTTTTATGGTGCTTAATGATACGTTTTTAAGCACTTTACTTGGTAATAACCTCGCTGTGATTTGTATACAATGTACAGTCATTTCCCCTCATGTTTGGCAAGAGATCTTATTGAATTTTCTAGAGCTGTTGTGAAACTATCCAGGGGTGAATTGTTCTCCTGCCCTTTATTGTTTTCACTAGACTTTAATATGTTTTTCTCACTTGAATGTACCTAAAGTCAGTTTGAAGAGTCATTGTTACTTCACAAAGACAGACGGTAAATATTGACTATTATGCATCAGTAGTTTCCTGTTTATACTTCACCACTTTTTTAAAAATTCAGGAAGGTAAATGGCAACACCTCAGGTCAACGGATACCTGAAAATATCTTTTAAAAATGCTTTGATTATTCAATAACAAATGATTCTATCAGGCATATTAAATGTGAGAATTTCATTTAATTAAACTTGTAAGTACTTTTAATTCAGAATTAATTCAAAGTAGTTCTGTTGTCGGAAAAGACTCATCCTGAACTGCCTGGAAAAAAAATTCATTCTAAAGTTCAGGCAAATTCCTAATTTACAAGTTTCTATGAATTTGCTCTTCCTTTCTTTTCCTAAAATGTCCAGCATTTTCCCCCTTCAATTTATTTCAGGATGCATCTCCGTATAATATAGACCTCCAGGCAAGTTGGTATCAAACTCAATCAAATGCTTTGCAGCACAATTTATATGCTTCTTGTTAAATTTGTTGTTCAGATATTATCAGAGTTGCCAACCATTTCTATTTGACAGGAATGATTCCTATTTGCAGGCCTTCAAGCTAATGTTATGAATCCTATTTTGCTCCGTCTTCTGAAAGTATCTGTAACAAAGCATGTGGAATGCATCTTATTCCTAACTTTTTCTTAGGAGATTCTTAATTTTTGCTTTAGAAGGTCGGCAAGTGTTAGATATCATAGGAGAAAGTGAGTGGAGGCTTATTAGTACATCTACATGTAGTTTATTCAACTGAGTCAAGATTTTGAATGTTAAATTGGCTCTAAGTATATTTTAGTACACTGAGTCAGCTTTATATAGACTGTAGCTATTTGCTTAAAATTAAAAGAAAACAATAGTACTTTTATTAATGAGAGTTTAATATTCAGGGAATCTTTGTTCAATGTGTTGAACGGAAAACATTTAATTGCTTGTATTTTTGTGATGATGCTTTCCTTGTGCAAAATTTTAATTGGAAAAATCTGAATGTTATTTCTCAACGTCTGCTGATGAAATTCCATCAGAATATTCTCACATTTCCCCATTTCTCTCCCCTTCTTTCTTCACGTCTCATAGAAATTCATTGTTTGTTTTTTTATTAAGAGCTTTTTTCTGCTTTTGCGTACTTGTAGTTCATGTCATGCAATATTGTTGTTGTCTTCACTTGCATTATGGCTGCTGAAATATTAGTTCACCCCTATTTATAGCTATGACACTATTTACCCGTTAAGTACAACTCCATTGTAATTTGGGGTAAAACCCCTTAGAAATACAAGTCTTATGAGAATGATGAACTTGTCTGTACCACTGTGTCGAATTAAAGCTAAGACCCCACTCTTTGAATTAAATGCAATTAGCTAGATAATCATTGAAAGAGGGAATGTTTAATACTTCAAGTAATGGAGTGAGATTGCTTCTGCCGTTCCAATTAATATAAAACATTTTGTTAGATTTTAAGTGTGATTCATATCCACATATTGCTGTATGATTTGACTTTGCCTTGAATGTACTGCTCATGTAGAAGTTTAACCATAGATGCTGGTGAATTTGAAAGTACATTCCAAAAGTAGGCTAGGTCGTAAATAGTCCCACGTAGTTTAATAGTTGGCCTGTAAATGCAAATATGTGCTAATGAGTATATTGTATTAAAGTGCTGTCATCAAATTGAAGGAAAAAAAGAAGGAAAAAAGAAGAAGAAGAAGGAATTCCTCCCCCAAATATTTATACCGTACCACATGGATATTCTTCATATGTGATATGCTATGGGTAATTGGGTATTGTTGCAGTTTAGGAAGAGATAGTGAAGTAAGTAACTCTGATTGGGGGTGGGGTGGGGGTTGGGGGGGGGGGGGTAAGGAGCAGATAACATGAAAATACCTTCCTGCCCATAGCTTCATTATTGCAGCCATATTAAAAATTCAGTCATTACCAAACCAGGTTCATATCAAATGAATCATTCAAAAACACCATTTCTCAATCAGGGGGCACTTCCGTGTAAGAAATATCATCTTCATGCACCCCTTTTCCATTTCAACGATAGCGGCACTCGTGACTCAAGTCCTAATTTTATTCCAATCAAGTCGAACCCTACAAGAACTTGGTAGCTGATGATTTACCCACACTTCAGTGGACTAATGAATAAATCCAACGTTGGAACAAGAAGGGGGCCGTAGGAAATGCAAAATAATTCACAAGGGAAGCGCATTATCTTAGATTTGTGTACTAATGTGGAGCTTAGTAAGCACCTCTTCAGAGTCATGTTTTAATCATGGATCAGTCCGTCTCGCTATTTGCAAAGCTAGGCTAAACCTCGAAATAGAATATTCGAAACAGACTGGGCAGCATGTATATTTGGAACACAGTCGAGAGGTATTCGTTTTTTTTTTATGTCTAATGATGGTTGAATGTTTTCACCTTGAAACACACTGTATATGGATGTATTCTATTCTTTTGATGTTTTGTCACTTCTAATTAATTTTATTGCTTGTAATCATTACCATGGCACTGTTTGGCCATGAATTAGAATTTCAACGAAACATGATCAAAACATACTTCCTCTTTGAACTGCACCTGATTCGTAATCTTCCTGATGTGCCCTCTCTCTTTCCATTTGTTCTTGTTCTTTTTATTTTTCTAATCCTTCTACTTCTTGTTTTTGTTCTCCTTTTTCATCATTTGCTTCTTCTTCTTGTTCTTCTTGTTCTTCTTGTTCTTTTTGTTGTTGTTGTTGTTTTTCTTCTTCTTCCTCTTGTTCTTGTTCTTGTTCTTCCTTCTCGTCTCTTCTCTCCTCTTCTCTTCTCTTCTCTTCTCTTCTCTTCTCTTCTCTCCTCCTCCTCCTCCTCCTCCTCCTCCTCTCCTCTCCTCTCCTCTCCTCTTCTCTTCTCTTATCTTCTCTTCTCTTCTCTTCTCTTCTCTTCTCTTCTCTCTTCTCTCTTCTCTCTTCTCTTCTCTTCTCTTCTCTTCTCATCTCTTCTCTCCTCTCCTCTTCTCTGCTCTTCTCTTCTCTTCTCTTCTCTTCTCATCTCTTCTCTCCTCTCCTCTTCTCTGCTCTTCTCTTCTCTTCTCTTCTCTTCTCTTCTCTTCTCTTCTCCTTCTGTCCTCTTCTCTTCTCTTCTCTTCTCTTCTCTTCTCTTCTCTTCTCTTCTCCTTCTCTTCTCCTTCTCCTCCTTCTCCTTCTCCTTCTCCTTCTCCCATTCTTCTTCTTTTTCTTTTTGTAATTAAAATAAAAAAGTAAATCAGTCACTCCCCTTCCTTGAAGCCCTCCCTGTCTCTTTCCTTTCCTATTTCATCTTAGTTTTTACTTAACTTTTATTGCAATTTCATTGTTCAAATTCCTGTGGTATCTTTGCCAATTTTTCTGAGAATTAAGATACTTTTTTTTTTCTCTCTTCATATCTTGTCTTTGTATGGGTAATATAATTTTCTTATCTTTGTCCTCTTTTTCAAATTTTTAATCAAATTTATTATTTATTTCTTATTACTCAAACTGTCTTTTCACCCCCTATCCATTGTGTGTGTTTCTTTCTAACTATCTTTCCACTCCACCCCTCCCTTGTCTCCTACAATCTGTTTATCTTTCAGCTGACAGGCAGAGGGATGTAAACTTCCATTTCTATAAAGCAGACAATATATTTTCCTCCTGAATGATTATATCCTTCCCACCCTCTGAGCTCTCCTATTCTTTCAGTCAGCTTTCCTTTCTTTTGTATCTGTCTGTCCTTGTCGTTTCTATGTCTATATCACGTTCTCATTCTCTCTCTCTCTCTCTCTCCCTTTCTCCCTCCTTCCCTCCTTCACTTACTCCCTCCCTCCCTCCCCTCTCTGTCTCTCTCCCTCTCACACACCTTTTCAGTCTCTGTCTCTATCTTTCTCTCTCCCTCTTTCTGTCTCTATCTACAGTCTCTTATCACCATTCTCTCTGATTCTCTTTTAACCCCCCTATTCCTTTGAAAAATACCTTTCTCCGTCTGATTATTATTATTTGCTGAATTGAATTGAATTGATTGAATTTGCCGCTCATTCATTCCTTTTCTTGAAGATCCGAGTCTCATTTCATATTTTCATCATTCTTATCATTTCTACAGACTGAAATCATCACCATGCTAGTAGAATCAGGAGCAGACTTAGATGCAAGAACTAATAATGATGAAACACCATTAAGTAAGTCCATGCATCATCTGCTGAGAGACAGAAGGGGTTAACTCGTGTTCTTTAACCCTTTACCCGCTGTGCCTGACAATTGGCACAAACAGGACGGCCACAGTAATCTATTTTCACAAGTACAGTGTTCATGGACAATGAAAACAAAATTATATTCAATCATTATCACTGATGCATTTCCATGCATTCACATTCATATTTTCTGTTTTGTATTTGCCCCATGTATTAATTTGAACATTTGACAATAGACTTGTTCATGTATAAGTATATGCTCCATAAAATTTGGCAGTCCGGGGTTTTGATCCATGGTTAATAAAGTTAACATAGAGCAGGGTTCTCATGGTCATGGAAAAACGTGGTGAGTTGCATGTCCGTCCCCAAGATTCAATTACCAAAGGTGGCTCCTTTCTGCTGTCTTCGAAAGTTTCCTGGCAAGTATAATACATGTACATGTGCATACATACCTTTCATGAACTGCATGTACCCTGATGGCCACATCTTTATCCTTTGTAAGCAGATCTTCTGCTTACAAAAACAAAACAGAAACAAAATAGACCATACTTATTGGAACTGTTCTGTAAGAATACTCTGTATTGCTCTCTCATGTACACGGTGCAATGCATCATTTCCCATTGAGGTTAAAACAAAACATTGAATAACTTGATATAATAATTAGATGCTCAGAGAAGCAGGGTAGATGATATGCAACAGGTGTTTTATGGCAAAGACAAAGGTGAAGACTAGGAACCATGGTACTTACTGATAGGCAAAATGTAAAACAAATTTCATAGATATTTAACCAGTTTTGTCATCAAGTCCAGCCAAGAGTCCATTAGTGGCCGGTGCATTGGCCTTGGACTTGGTGTTTACAAAACCTAAGGTGATTACTGATTAATCGTATGAAAATGAAATACTGTTTATTTTTCTATGTAGGTATTTGCGAAGATGATGAGATCAGGAGTCTAATTCACCAGCTGAAACAGGAGATCCAATCCAACCGCATTAGACCCTCGGGAGGCCTTGTTAGGAGAAGTTCCAGTCGAAAAGGGAGAGGGTAAGAACCAGGGCTGGTTTCTCGAAACCATCATGAGTCTTTGTGTTGACATCTCATAGAAACATATCGAGGGGTCACTGACACCAAGACGTAACTCCACTTTGGCCATTTTGAGAAAAAGTGGTTTATGTGTCACTGAGGCACTTGGGCATTGAGGAGTTAAGTCTGTCTTTCACTAGCCATTAATTTCAATGGGGTGTTGGGTGGAGTTGAGTCTTTGTGTTTCCTGGAAAGCCCACATTTTTCTGAACATTTTAATATTAAATTCTCATTTTGGTAAAGCATGGAGTTCCATCTTTGTGTCACTGAACCCTCGATATGATGTAAAATATGCACACCTTTTCATGAGATATCTAAAACCTTGGACCTTTAAAAGGTTTGGAGAATTTGGTCCAAGGATCCATAAGCCCAGCATGTCAAAGTCAGTCAGAACTTATAGTCTTTGATATCTTACTTAGTTCCTTGATGAATCCAGCTGGAGTCGACTTCCTTCGAAATCAAGGCTGTGAGTCAGAACCGGAAGCAGTTCTCGACAATAAGAGAACCAACTAAGCCTAGTTACAATGTAATCTAGACCTTTAATTCCTAAGATCAAGACTTTGATAATATAGGCTTGAGCCATTGGCCTCCATTTAGCAAAACATTTGGCTTAACATTTGGCTTATTTGGGGCCTTCTCCCCTGAGGTCCACATGTTGAACTTTCCGTTCAGATACCAAAATATTGGCCTGAGTTTTAATTTAACAGCATGAGGATGAATTTGACAACATGTTTTAATAATTAAGCAAGATGTAATTAAATCAACTTCAGTAGTTATGTTGATTGTAAAATCATCGGGATAAACTTATGTGGGGACATAAGGAAGATTAATTCCGTTTCAGTTTCTCAGCAAATATAAACCGTAATAGACTTGCTTTTGTTACTATTTAGGATTTTGATAAACATCTGCCGATGCTGGTAACTGTGATATTTTGATCTTGCTTTAATGATGATGGATCACATGTAAACTTCGGGTGAAATACCGTTAATATTAGAATTGAAATCTAGCCAGCGAATTGTAACCATTTAGTTAAATAGAAAAATGAAAGAGGATGAAAGCAGGAACTATAATTCTTTCCAAACTTCAGACCTAATAGACAGGGTGTTTGACTATATTTGGCTTCAAGGTTAGAAATGGAAACTGACATTCTTAATAAAACTTATTTGTGCCATCCGAGGCCATACAGATTGCCATCAAATTGGCAACATCTACTTTGATATTTCGCCTCCATATTCAATTAACACTTTAAAATCATGCCAAACAGATAGCTGGCATATATTAATTAGTGGATGTTAGATACATGCATGTATGTGCCCTGTCAGTAATGGCTTGTATCAGTTGAAGGACAATATGTTCGGAACTTCGGACATAAGTGGGATATCAAATATATCATCTGTTTGGAGCCAGAAGGGCATTACCCCTTATACTTTAAAGGAGCTACACAAAGAAAATTCACTAACAACTCATAATTAGAACAAATTACATATGGATGGAAAGATTTTCTCTTGGAAAACACGAACAATTTGCTGAGAAATCATATAGATATCATGGAAAGGCGTAAAATGCAATTTTTCAAGACCCTCCTTAGACCCCCGAACACCCCTGAACGTAAGTCAAACACACAAGCGTAGCGAGCACTGAAATGTGACGTCACACACTGGACGAACAGCTCAGTGCCGTGTAGCAGTATGCAGCTAGCCAGCCGTGTCCCGTATGTGACGTCACAAATATTGACGCTCTACAAAGGACCGCTGAAGGCAGAAAATCTGGATCTCAAAACTAATATTTTTGAGAGTTGATTACTGCGGGCCCCCAAACATATTTTTTAAGAGAAGAGTTGTTGTATTTGATCGGCAAGGCTTCCCCTTCGCAATGATATGAGTTTGCATCAATTCAAAACACTTTTGAGTTCTTGGTGTGGCTACTTTAATATATGGTAGACTTAATGCCCTTCTGGCTCCAGCTAGATGATCTCGTCTTTTCAGAGCCAGAAGGGCGTTAACTCTACATTAAATATTATGAGTGAGTGCCCTTCTGTCTCCAAAAAGATGATATTCTCGTGATTAAAGAGGTACTTGAGGCACTTGAATGTGATTTCAATATATAACCTTTCATGGAAGTGAAAGTTGTAGCTCCGATGGCAAAATGTCTGTTGACTCTGATGAAACCTAGAAGTGATCATCAATGCTGACAAAACAATGACTTGTAGATTCACTTTTGTACCTCGATCACATCATCAAACTGTTTCCACACCAATTCTAAATCATTCACATGACTGTAATGTTTTTGTTGATGTGCTGTCAATCTGATGTCTGTCTCACTGCTGTGACTGAGGTATAAAGTCCCCCTTTCAGGTTCTTTTGACCTCCCTCACCCCCCCCCCCCCCCCCCCCCCCCCCGCCCCCACACACACATAAAACAACAACAACAAACAACAGCCATTGTCTGATTTCCCCGGATTCTGGCTGATAAGTAGCAAGATGCTCACTAAAGTAATACCAGTTTTTCCTGAAATTATGGAGTACTGAGCATATGGAAATTCTAAAAAACAAATGAAATCTGTGTTCTGATGGCCGGGCCGTAAAAAATGTAAAACATGTATCTGGCAGCAATAACAAATAAATTCATGAAACATAAAGTTAATGGCCAGTTGTGAAGAAAGGATTACTTTGGAACTTTAAAAAAAAAGAGTTTATACGAATAAAATACAGAAATTAAACAATTTAATATATGCAAATGATAAAATATATGAATGAATTTAATATGAACCTTACTCTTTTTATTTTGATTGGTCAGGTCATCGATAAGGAGAAGCAGTAAACGAGAGAAGGGTGAGATGAGGAAGCTAGATGCCAAAGGGGAAGCAGCCTACATGCAGTCTAAAACAGAGGTAAGGATCCGGACAGATTCTCAGTTTGAATTCATTCTTTCCATGATACACAGTGCAGGGTATCACCATTGTATGGCACTTGCTCCTATAACAATGGCCCGTGCTGAACTTTCGAACAAATTACCTTTAAATGTCAAAAACTGTCAAACTGTTAACCAATTCAAAACTTGCCTCGAGATACATTTATTCAAAATTGCATTTGATGATTAACTTATTCTTTTCATGTTAATGTATATTTAATATGTATTTTAATTTGTAGGTTTATTTGCACTTTTTTGTTTTGTTTAATATGTAATTGTTTATCAATGTATTTTGTTTGTTATAGCGCATAGCGACTGTGGTGGTAAGTGCTTTATAAGCACCGTTTTTATTTTTTATATTTAAAATATAATCTTAATTTAATACCTATACTTACTAAATTCTTAACTTCAGCCTGGAACCCATCACTATACTGTACTTACGGTAACCCTAACCCTAAACCTAAACCATATTGCAACCTTATGCCTAAACCTTAACTAAAACTAAATTGTAACCCTATCCTTAACCCTTAGTCTATCATGAAACAAAGCCTGAGACAGGAGAAAGAGACAGCCCCTGGGGTCTTGTACATGTACATGTATATCTATAGCAGACATCTCTCTAGTCTCAACTTTCTAGATTGCGAAGATCTGCATGAAATATGCTCATAGGATGCCATTTCATCATAATGCGTGTTTATCAACTCTGCAATTGACTCATTTCCATTTAACGCATTGGCTCACATTAGGGTGTCTTCGAGGAAAAATTGAAGAGACCTTTTTCATCTTACAGGCTATAAGAAAGGCTATTCAATACAGAGGGAACCATTCAGTCTTAACATACTCAAATGTCTAAAAATGGAGATATACACATTACACAATTACATACCTTTCTCTATACGGTACATGTATGAGAACAACATTAGAATTACTACATTTGTATAAAATAACAAACCATATTTGTCCTCAAGTGATATCAAGGTTGCTTGTTATTCTTGTTCTGAATTATATTTCCTTGTTGCGTGATTGAAAGGAAATGATATTGATTACATTTTTGTAGTTCACAGACATTGAGTGTTACATTTCTTTCCATTGAACTTATCCAGTGTCCATTTTATCCATTTTATCTTTGAAGGCAATTACCTTGTGAAGTACATTATTATATTTTTTTTGGTGCATTTATTTATTCATCATTTTGTTTGACTTTTTATTTTGTTTTGTTCAGTATTGTTTTGGAGTATTGGAGGGGAGGAGACTACTGCTTTATTTTACATCTTATTGCGCAATGACTAACTTTCTGTTTGCAATGCTTCTTGATTGAATACTATATAATATCATGCATGTGCTATATTAGGAAGCAAGTGACGAGAGACATACTTTCTGATCGAAAATTGAAACATTAATGAGGTCATACCCCCCCCCCCCCACCCTTTCTAGAAATACCAGAGTAAAGATGGAATTCAGATTTCTTGTCTAGAATCCCTCTTCCTACTCAGCACTCAAGAACTATCATGACATCACAATCTGCCGATCACTTCTGTTTAGTATTCTGCTTTAAATAAATCCAGCTGTCCTGAAATGAAAATCGGGAAGGAAGTGATTATACGGTTATGTAATCTTGAGCTAGTCTGTGAAGGTCTTAGAGGGTTTGATTAAGAAAACCTGGCAACAGTATCGTCAGAGGTTGCAGGATATCATGTGAAAATTTATTTATAGACACCAGTCTGGCCTTAATTATTATATTATTATTATTTTTTATCTTTTTATATATATATATATATTTTTTTTTTTTTTGGGGGGGGGGGAGGGGGTTCACTAAATAGCAGTAAGGTGGGCGGTCTGCAAGAAGGCCGTTACTGCAATTGACAATGCATTGCTCTTACTTCCTTTTATATGCAGGCCGCCAATGATGATAACTAATTTTCATGTATTTCTTGGTTATATATCACCATATACCACATGAATGCAAAATTGTTTTGTAGAGCTACTAATCCTAATGATCACAAGTTTCCATTTGATTTCAATGATAAATTACTGTAATATTTTAATCAAGTGGATTAGAGAATAGGGGTTACTGATACTATAACAGTATTTCATTTACATATTTTAAATGTTTTGTAATAACTATCATGTCAAGAAGATACAGCAGTTACTAGTAATATTAGAAAAAAATGATGTTTCATTTTGAGTTCAAAATGATACTGACCATTGTTTTTGTAGAAGTTTAGAGTTTATATTAAAAATGTAATTGTTTATTTGTTCTTTATAACTTGAGAACTAATGCAATTTAATTGGTGTAGATGTGATATAAATTGTATGCAGTTCCCACACATTGATATATATGATATCTTTTCTTCCTCGACAGGAATTAGAAAACTCTTCCGATAGCAGCCCAGTTACAAATATTGACGATGTTAAGGTCTCAGAAGAAACAAATGGACACATAGAACAAAGTGGTGAAGAGATCACAGAAGGGGGTGAAAACGGCGAGGAGGATGGTCGGGTCACCCCTCTGCCTGTCATCACAGAGGAACTTTCAGACCCTGAGAGTCCAAGGAACAAAAAGAATGGGGATTTGGGCGGGGACGCGATGCAGAAGAACGGCAGGACGGACAGCGGTGACTTCGAGGATACCTTCGATGAAGGGCCGTCGCATCAGAAGCGGTTAGTTTCGATCCTGAAGAAGCGACCGGAAGACCCCTCCATCACGAGCCAGAAGAGCAAGAAGGAACAGAAGGAGGAGAAGGAGAAGATCAAACGAGAGCAGAAGGAGAAGGAGAAGCAGGAGAAGCAGAAGCTGAAGGAGGAGAAAGCACAGAAGAAGAAGGAGGAGGAGCAGAGGAAGAGGGAGGAGATGATGAGGAAGGAGAACGCTAAACCCGCCAGTCCGTCTGGAGACGGTATGGAGATGGACAAACAGTACTCAAGCACTGGAGAAACTCTGGCTGATCTTAAGAAGCAAAGGGCTAGTCAACATGGAGCACCCTCTGCAGGAGGAGACAGCAATGCAGAACCAGGTAACATATACCTCTCAATATCCTCATCCTTGCCTCCCCTTCCCCCAATCATTCAAACCCAAACGTTTGCATTCATTCATAGCGTTGTTACCGCTGTATGACTTACATGTAAACACAAAGAAGAGACAATCATATGTTTCATTCTGCATCATGTTTGCATTTCTCCATGATAAAACTGATGGTGCGTTACCATTGTACAAAGCTCAGCATCATGCAGATATTTTCATTGGATCAAAATTAAAATGCCTTCCCTTAAAAATGGGATAGTCCCTTCCTTTTGATGAACATGATAATGAAATGAGTATATTGTACATATTGCAGAACCTGCAGGTAAATTTGGTTGCGGGGTGGGAATCGGAAACACCCCTGAAACGTACATAGTCACATTCTTCTTATAAAGTACAACTAATCTCTAACTACTCAATTATAGAAACTAGACAAAATTTGGTGGCAGTATAGAGGTTGCCCCCCCCCCCCACTACCCATCATCAAACTAATAAAGGGCTACTTTTAAAATACACATTTCATCCAAAAATGCAGGATCTCTCGGTGTGACCGTTGAAAAATGGTGCTTTCTGGTACCTGTATATCATTTGTCATAGTCATATGGAGAGATTTTTTCATTCATGGATGAAATACGTGGATACATTTCAGATGTCGTACATTGCACAGAATCGCCCACAATTTTGTGCATTTGCAATTTAGAATCAGGCCCTTCCTTTTACAGTGCTTCATGCATGAGAACAGCAAACAGTCAAGCTCTGAAGCAATTCTACTCTATAATTCATAGGTTTTGGGGTTTAGAATCTGAAGGGAGTTAGATCCGAACCAAAGTGCTGATGTCATAATGGTTCGGTGAACAGGTTACTGGTTCTATTAAAACAACAGAGCCTGTGCACGAGGTTCACCGCGAAAACATTCAAGCAACATGCTGGAGCAGGGCAAACTCAGTGTTCGTTGCTGGTGTGATCACCATACCATTGTTGAGAACAAAACTGTTTGGAACCAGCAACCTTCACAACTTGGCCAATATGACGTCGGTACTCTATTCTGAAATAGAAATACCAACCATTCAGCAAGTCTTGTGATAAATGCATTGAGCATGGCTAGTAGTTTGTGTGCTGTGCATGCTAGTTAGCTTGTGGAATACATTGCCTTTTGTGCAGGGTTGTAATGATGTGATCATCATGATTAATCTCAAGTACAGTCTTGGGTCTTAATGATGAAACAACATTTTAAAAGAAATGGAACCTTAATCAAAATCATTCATTGAATAGGATCATCCCACAAAATGGAATTTGGAACAGCAAAATGTTTTTAGGAATACAAAAAGCCATCGCAAAATCACACATCATCTGTTGAGAGCCAGAAGGGCATTAACTCTGTATTGAAGGATATGAAATAAGGTCCTTGTGGCTCCTAGCAGACAATGTACTGGAAGGACAAATATTGAGAAGCCAACTTTGGATGGGGTACTCACTATGAACATGACAGACAAAGAAAGCGGACAAAATATACAGTTCCTCAGGTAGACAAAGGAACATCCCTTCACTGCTATTATGTAAAAATGTGTAGAACAGGTGCCACATGCATATTCACCTGTTCTACACATTTTTACATAATAGCCGTGAAGGGATGTTCCTTTGTCTACCTGACGGAACTGTATATTTTGTCCGCTTTCTTTGTCCTTCATTTTCTTAGTGACTGGTATTTAAATTTAGTCCCATTTGGACCCAATATTGCCTTCTTTCTTTGCTACTTGCATTACACATGCTTTTACCAAAATTGTTTGTTCCGATGTTATTTACTTGTAGATTTAATGGCAGTTTTATGAAAAGATAGATTCTAAATTCAAAATTTTCTTTGCATGGCCAATCATAATCCACGATCTGATATTTAGCAGGTCATTTATCGTAACTCTTTGCTAAAGGCTCAATGTTGTGATTTGCATCGTTCTTTTCTGTACGCACACAGGTTTTAATGTCTAGCTGTTGCTTGTGTTGAGATGTTCAGCCCCCCCCCCCCTTGCATGCGTTCACTGAAAACATATAGACATGTATTGTCAGTCACTCTCAGACACATAAATTACATTTAAATGTAATATACATGTATATATTTACTATTCAGATATATATATATATACCTGCATATCACTTGTGAATACATAGAATATCTATATGTTTGTAATTTATTTTTAAATTGTAGATATACATTGATGCAGTATTGCACCCATTCTGGGGGGATACTCACTCATTAAGACATACTGGGTGTGCCGCTCTAATGGGTCACTTTTTCACAAATAACCCCTAAACATTGGTCGAGTTTTTAACAAAAATATCCCTAAACATTCCTCCAAGCCAAATCTAACCCCCCCCCCCCCCCCCGGGCACCCATTCATATATGTACACTGTATGTTACATATTTTCATTGGAGGTACAATTGATATTATACATATTTGTGTGTTCAATACAATATACTCAAGCTAATGAATGATAAACACCCTCAATATATATATACCCTTGTACATCCATATTTCAAACATGCTCTTTCTTGTTAATGCTCAAACTGAAGAATTCACAGGTACACATGCACCCACATACCCCCATGTACATGTACCGGTAGTCACCTTTAGATTTAGTGTAAATTACATGTAAATACAATCAAACCTGTCTTAGCAGCCATCTTCTTACAAAGATCACCTGTCTATAGTGGCCAGTTTTACTGGTTTCTTTTGGTGGCCTTTAGAGACAGGTTTGACTGTGCCATGTACATGTAGGGCGTATATAATATGACAATTTCATCTTCTTGAAGTAATCACTGTCACTGTTATCTCATCAGGGAGAATGATGCATTCAGATTTTGTAGGAGTAGGAATTGTAATAATTGAAGTCAGACTATCTACAGTTAGCAACTAAATTATTCATATGCCATGTAAATGGAATGTTTATTGTGTTTTTCGTAACTCAAAAATGAAAGGAGGAATGGTTGAATTTGGATTTTTTTTTTTTGTTGTTGAATAATTGTAGATGTAAGCTTTTAATATGCCACATTCTCAAGGAACAAAATTCTGGACAAATCAATTTTTCGCGTAATTAAAAAATGACAAAACTGGGTTAAAGGGTGTGGATAATTTAGTTTTTAACTGTCTGCATAGATAATAGATACATTAGCTCATGTAGATACATTGTTATTGGACACAAAACTATCAAACTTGTGTATTGTTCTTTAAACCTGCTTGTTTAATTTAATTTGATTTTGTTTGTATTAAAGTCCACTTCTTTGCCATTTGGTCCAAATCTGTTTAATAATAGATAGACATAGTAATTGAGTGCATGACTACATACACCAGCTATAAGATACAGGAATTCCAGGATACATCCATTTTGGAGTATAAGTATCAGAAGTGAGACATATTTTATGTACTACTTATAGTAATTTGATAACACTATTTTCATATGAAAAGATATGTCTTTTTTAAATCATTAAGTCTCATCCTTTTGATTGAAATTAATATGGCTACTGACTAATGATCTTGAAAAGCTCAGTTTCTATTCTAATGGCTGAAAGTGATCTGTACTAAACACAGAAAAGATTGCTTTAAAGAGCATGACTTGAGTTGGTTTGTTTTAATGAAAGATTTATGGAGGTGTGAAGTCAACCGATAATGTTTGAAATTGTTAAAGTCTTGCAAATAAGAAAAAGATCCCCCAAATGTTTGTTTGATGACCCCCCCCCCCCCCCCCCAAGAATAGTATATGCAACTTTGTGCAGGATTTGTCTCCTAAAACTTCAACTGATGTTAATTTTATTGTGATGTCTTGAATGATTAAATATCATGTGGTCCTTTTTATTCAAATGTGTGTACTATTTCCCACATATGATTTGATTGGAGCATGCTCAGGTCCATTATTAGTTTTGGAAATCGCCATAGTTTTTGCAGTGCTCAAGATGATCCATTTTCATATTAATTTTCATTTTTTTGCTCCAATACCCAACCCTGCGCTTAAAGCTTTGGAATTTTGCCAATGATGATCTTTACTTATATAATTAAAATTTGTAGCTTTAATGATCTGGATGTGTTGAGTCGCTATGGTAACAACTTAACTGCAAAGCACTATATTAATCATGATGGTACTTTGTCTGTTGAGAGCCTGAAACCTTGCATTATTAAGGATATATGAATTGACACCCATCCGGTTCAAAACAGACAAATTAATATTATAATTTCAAAACATAAGCGACAGATTTTGTGTATATGCCAATATTTCAATTCAGCATTTCAGGTTAAGATGGGTGTAGACAATTTTCAATAAGCATCACAATTAAAAGCAAAATTCTATTATTTAGTACTTCTTCAAAGCTTCTGTATTCATAGCCCATATTGTGACAGAAAGGGTGAAATTTTGTGATTAAAAAGAAAAGTAATTATAATTTCTTTCTCCAAGGCTGAATGTTTAGAAGATGTAACTGCAGAAATGTACATGTATCAATACTATTGTTTGTGTACAGGTATTAATATAAAACTTTGTAAATGCTGTAAGTTACTTATTGTTCTGTATATAGTTTAATTCTTGAATACTGTAGATAATTATGTTTATAGATGAAAGAAACATTTGTTCATATTTTCACAGCTGTATGTTAACTATGAAAATAGTAAGATAGATATGTTGCAACATTATTTGTGCTACGTGTCTATCTTTTAAATTCAATGTTTTGTTTGACAGATTCCGATTCCGCTCAGGTTCCCAGTGGTTCTGCTGGCAGGCCTAGTTTAAGAGAGAGAAAGTGGGTTCGATGTCGAATCTGCTGACCGGCGATATGTGTGATTTCCTCACGCAATGTAAATACCTCAATGGTTTCCTTGTTTCTCACATCCCAACCCCATGTTCATGTATAGCCGATGTGGGATTTGTGCAGACAAACCTAATAGAATGGATCATTCTCAGCTCACTAAACAACCCATATTTATTTAATCCTTGATTTTATTTACACCAGGGACTGTATACATTGTTCATGTAGAGATCACAAATTTCAACTACCGTAATTTGAATTTCAGCTCGCCTACAGGCTTTCTCAATTCTTATTTCTGTGCCTGGAAAACAGAACTCCCGGTCCAAGTGTTTCTTTTCATTACTATCGGTCTGAAATTCTCTTCCCTTTGTTTTTATGGGTGATTTTGGACCCTTGGTTTAAATTTATTTCATATTTTGTTCAGACATCTAATCTTAACAACTCATTAATGGTATGATTTTTTTCCATCTCCCTCTACTAATAACACAATCACAACTATCATAAAACTCTTCTCAAGGGCCTTTCCAATACCCTATTGTACATCCCATAGAAGTCATGTTCGGATTACGTAGAACATCGTTGTCATGTTTGCACATTTGAATAGGTGACGCACAAAACTATTGAAATTGAAAAAAGATTTTGCAAAAGTAGTTGCAATCGTTTTGAATAATTATATATATATAGATTTGTAATTTGAAGCTACTGGAAGTTGCAAATCCACCATACACTGCAGGGAATACCGAGTTGATAACCTGCTGCATGTACACACTTTCACCCCCTGTGCTTTTAGTTTTCTTCATCTCACAAGTCAAACACTCATTTATTTTTAACGGGACATTACTGTGATTTACAAAAAGGAAAACAAATTAGAGGAAATTTTGGGAGTAATTAAGTCAGAAGGAAGCTGAAGAGTTTTGAACGAAAAGGAAATGGATGAGGCAGGAGAAAAGTAGAGAGATGTATTTGAAGAAACAAAGAGAAAAAATGCTGAAAGACATGTACCGTAGATGAAGAATAAAAAGCACTGATATTCCATAATTCAGCTAAAATGTGTTTGCTGAAGCATTCCCAAGTACATTCTAATACTTGGTTGACACATGTACATATACTCATGAATAATACTCCACATTCAAATATAGTTTACTTCCATAACTTAACCACAGCACGAAGCATTATATTTATTACATAGTAGTCAGTAGATTGAGAAAGTATTTGATAATTGCCAATCTTGTTATACTACCGAAAAAACAGATGGACGTTAGTAGCAGATTAAATGCCTCCCCTTCCAACATTTTATTACCTAATTTTATTCTGTAGTAAAAAAAAAAAAATATTTCCTTCTCCTTCAGTAATACTAGTATTCAATTGTCTATAACACAGAGTACATCCATTCTACACATCCATTTCTGTTTTCATTTGTCATTTTCTGATTTGCCATACATCTATAATGCTAAATCATACGTCAGAGAGTGTTCATTTATTGATGCAAAAAATAAGTCATTCAAGACATGATTTGGGCGCCACTTTCCATACTTTCCCCCAGATTTCAGGTCCTTGCCATTTCTGTGTTTCATACTTTTTTAGACTTCATATTTTTCTGGGGCTCCCCCCTAATTGGGATCCTTTCCAGGCTTGAGTGAAACCAACTGGTATTTCTGTTGCTTTTTCTTGAGAGGGGCATTCTGACTTTGTTGAGTGGTGATTTCAAACTTGTACAATTTCTTTTCCCTTTTTAATGATCACATGTAATTGCTTGGAACATGATATTATTCAAAGGCTATTCTACATGGGCTGATGTATTGTAAACAGTTTTGTGGGAAATTGTCACATATTTACATGGATCTTAATTATTACAGACAGAATCATTTAATCAATTATTCATTGTACATGCACCTATATACGTATGGATCTTTTATCAATCCTTTTTAAGTCACCCCATATATCATTTTTAAAATTATTTGAGTTCTAGATTAATTTCTCTCACAACTAAATATCACAAACATATCGTCCTCTTCAACTACGGTATCCTATTCACAAACCTGTGAAGTAACCTATATGTAACCAAACTTGCATGCTGTATTATCGTGTGTCACACCTACTATAAACATATGGTTATACATTTATATTCTGTCTGTTTAAAGCCAAAAGGGCGTTAACTCAAACATAGACTTAGTGCCCTTCCGGTTCTGAACAGATGTTATGTTTGTAGTATATTTACTGTACTCCCATTACACTTGCACATCACCATATCTGTACCCATGTTTACCCTTTATATACAGGGATATATAGATCCATTCTCTTTACATTGAATAGTTTTGAGTCTATATTCTCCTTCACTTGATATTTATTTGTAATCCCTTGTCTGTACTATGTTATGCAGGTTATAAGAATGTCATCCCTTATCCACTTTGTCTTTTCATTTATTTTTTCCTATTTTTTTTCCTTCTTTTTTTTGGAGCGACTAAGGCCCATAGTCATAAAATCTTACTTCGCTAGTTGTCAACTATTTACATAGTCAGCTGAAACAAGGCTTGGTGAGGTTTTATGAACATGAGCCCAGGGCATAAACTCTATGTTTAAGTATAATGAAATGGTGTTTCCAAACAGACTATTTACAAGGCATTTTGGTATTCATGCATTTGATTTATTCATTTTCAGGCCTTCGCCATCGGCTCAGAAAGCTTGTGCTTCACTCATCTCACCATTTTAATTATCCAATTTTTCCTAGGGTATTTCAACTTATCTTGTCAAATTGTAGACCTTGGAAGAAGTTCTACCTAAACAGCTGATTTGATTGCAAAAGATCATTCATATTTTGTTCATGAATCATTACCTATATCGATGAAAAATATTCTACTTTTAAATAGAATCATTTGTATACATCACAATAGCAGAGCCAAAATCATTTTGTATTGGCAGAAAATTTACCCAAAATAGAAAAATAAAAAAATAATTGAATGAACAGTTTGGTGGCTTCTGAGTGGGGGGTAGTATGCATATATATGTACCACATTCAGTGTGAAAGAAAATTGTAAAGTAGGGATTGTATTGTATTGAGAATAAAAGCATTTGTTATGATTTGTGCACAGTCATCAATATTTTCCTTCATTGCATGGATTTTTCTCACCTCAGCATTGTTCAACATGCTTGTGTCTTGCTCAGTTCAGTTTGTGCAGCATAATTTTTGTATCTGGTTCATATGCCCCTTTGGGTGTGTCTGTGTTATCATTTCAGTGCGTACATTTATCGTTCCAATCTGATTGAATGTCATGTAAAGGTGTGATTAAGTTTTGAAAGTTTTAAAATTGAAATAAACAATAAATGACTGATTTTGACTCATTACATGCCTAGAGAGTTTCAGTTAGAAATAGGAAATACAATATAGTTCTTTCACCATGAAATATTGATCTCTGTAGTTTATCACCCTGGTGATATATTGATTTGTCATCACCTTTAGTTTAGCAACAAATATATAAAATCAGATATAACTACTTTCATGTGCTTAACAAAAGCAATACCGGTAGAGCAATTTCAGGCATCCATTGATTTACATGCGTATAAAGTACATGTAGAAAGGAAAAGTATCTTTCACAATTTTGGATGTTATCTACAAAAAAAAAATCTATTTTCAATACCTTCCCGTTATTCATAAAGTTCTGCTGTGAATCTAATGAAGCTAAGATTAGCAAATTCAGTTTATATTGTAGAAACGATGAATACGTGACGATTAATTCATCTTCTCTTCCCTCTTAAATCTCTCCGTTTTTACGATGCTCAGCCGATAGCAAACCCTCCACTGCGTCTTCGCCCAAAGAGAAATCCAACACCAAGTCCAAGGGACTCCACAGCAAGCTACGCTTTCCACGTCCCGCCACGCGCTACGAGTTCAACGCCCCGAGCAACCAGGGCCAGAACGGCGAGGTCGCGCTCGACGACGGCTCCAAGGCCTCCCCATCCCCGGGGGAAATCAAGAGGTTTTCGGGAGGCGTGACGGAAGTGATGGGCCCCGATGACCATAACAGCAATTGTTGTATCATCAGTTAGAATTATCACAAACCCTGCTTTGAATGTTGTGGTTACTTTATATGAATATATATTTTTAGATATTTTGTTCCGGGGAATCAATTTTTTTCCAGTTTATATTGGACGAGATGGAAAGAATGTAGTGATCAAGGCAGAAATAGAGAACAAAGTTGATGAGACTTTGACATTGAATTTGTTGACATTAAGAATGTAAACCTGGCCATATGAATATAACTTGCTTTTCGGTGATGACTTAATTTTATTCCAAAATGTCAAATTTGTTAAAACATTGTTACAATCTAGGTGCATTTTTAAGTGAGATAATTATGTGAGAATGAAATGAAAGCTATTGAACTTAATTGCTGATAACAATCTAGTTACCATTTAAAAGCTATCAAAAGTATAACGGCGGATGATCGCGACATGCTATACACAGCTCATACAGTTTGTGTGTATGCCAATGATATCAAAGTGGAGATGGTGATGAGCTCAAACTTCACGTTTTTTTACTACATGCACGATTTTGGAAAAAAAATTTACAAGCGGCTTTAACAAAAATGAAGAACAAAAATGCCACACCCTCTGCACCAAATAAGGCATGGCTGTTGTAAAGTGCCATGAGAGATATTTATTACTTTTGCTTTCTAGAAATTGACCAAAACTTATTCAAGTAAACACAACATCAGGTAATTCCTGCTCTTATTCATACATTCACCATATTTCTTACATTCCGTTTTTGAATAATTTTCTACAACTCTTGTCTGTTTCATTGGAGGCTGGCTCAATCGATATAATGCAACGTCATATTCTGGGACGAGACCCTGTATATGTTTTGTATCAAAACTGTTGATAATGGTAATATTATTGAGGATTTATACAATTAAACCAAATAAGGAGGATAACAAAAACTGCACTGATTACTATTTTTAGGTATATGCATAATACATAAAATATGGATAATACATTCCACCGTACAGGTTGTATTTGCAAAGAAACAAATACACAGTTACCGGTATGTACAGTAATTGAAAATCAATTAGAAATTATCTGAGAATTTCCATCTCTCATAAAAATCTTGTTTGAAATGATATATTCTTCAAATAAGTAGGACAATGACGGAATTTAAAAAGGGAAAAGCTGGGTGCAATACGGGCTGGACATGACAATAAGTAAAATTACAACAAATTATGAATACTTCAATTGATAAAACACATTTTTTACGTTCATTTAGTTTAAGAGAGGCAGATCAAATCTAGGAATAGTGTATACCTGAATAGCGTATAACCAAATAGTGTATAACCGATAAATATATCCAATCATAGTTTGGGGTGTGGTATGATTGTCCACATGAGGCTATTACAAAATAATTTTTCTATTATATTTTTTTTCTTTCCATCTTCCTCACACAAGTACATGACATGACAATTCTGAAAAGAAATGAAACAAAAGACTTATAATTCAGGTAGTTACCGGTACATGCTATGTTTAAAAGTTAGATGTCTTTCTTTCATACTTATTTTGCATGTTAGCTTTCCAACAGAAATTTATTGAGAACAAAACCTCCTCCTAAATTTTTGAAGCTAGATTCAATGTCTTGAATAGATTGGTGAAAAAGAAATGACATCTAGTTATTCACTTTAGGGCATCCATTTGATTCTCAGAAAGTTGCTTTGTAGTTGATACGGTGTATTTATTCCAGCTTCCATTCCAAATTACATAGCCTAGCTTTTTACAGGTCTGAAGAAGAAAAAATCTGTGGAAAAAACTTTTGATACAATGAATCTGTCTTCCCGTATCGGTAATTTGCAGAGCTGCGTCACCCCCTCTGAATGTACCATGATGTGTTGGGTTTAGAAAGACTAGTAAAAGTTTCTGTTTGTGGTAATTCTTTTCCTCTCTGGTGAAATTTAATGTATTGTCACACAATTCTTTTCTTGGCAAAGAGCTTTAAGGACCAAATGTTTTTTTTAATTATCTTATATTTTTTAAAGCAGAATTCAATGTTTATTCCAAGGGAGCAAATCTGGGATCTTTTTTTTTCTTATTTTCTGTTCAACATTCCATGATTGAAGGAAAAAAAAATCATTATTTAGTCATTAAAACAAATATTATGTGTGAAATATAGCTCTGTGATCTATAAACTACTACAAATGAAATAAAATTGTTTGTTTTTAGTGATAATTCTCTCTCGTATTGATGATTTTTTTAATTCTTTAACATTGCAGATCCAGGGTAATCTATTGACTGTCACTCTGTATGTGAATTTATGTGGAGGATAGCTTTCTACTTCATTATTCTGGTCATGCGACTATTATTGTCACATGATCAAAGGTCAGGTGATCAAGAGAGAGGCCTTTAGTTATTGCATGATAACAGTAGTGATATGATGGCAGTGTTTTATTTCCCCTGCTTTTAAAGAAATCTTTGAATATGCTGTAAGATGAATGTTATCATGGACCAGCAGGACTGGGATATAGTATAAAAATAATATGTTTCTGCTATATGTTATATGTTACTCCGAGTCATGCAAGTGTGTTTAAGAATATTCAACTATCGCTACTTATACTGATTTCATTGCACTACTTATTTTATGAATGAAATGAAATTCATCTACTTTAGGAAACTTCAGCACAAAACTACATTTTGCAAACTTCTGTGATGGAACTATATTTTATTATATGACATTTTATGTCAAACTCATATACTGGCATTGCAAGTGATATTTCAAAAATCTAAATTGTTCAAATTGTTGCAGAAATCAAGCAAAAAATTAAGTAATGAAAATATGTTGATTCTAAAGGGAAATGCTGTAAGTGCAATCATTTTTTAAATTATGATTCTTACTTAAACTTTAAAAATGTTGTTTTTGTATATTATATGTATCATGGACATTTTAGTTTTATTAATATGCACAGTGTCTTGATAAAAATGTTTTGTTTTGTGGAAATGCAATATTTGGGGGTAATTGTGTTGTTATAGTTTTGTTTATGTGGCATAATGATCACATTATTGGTCTTTCCTGGTTTCCGTTGCAAAATTTGCTGCTGAATTTTCATATAGCATGGATCTGTACATGCTTTGCACTGGTAGAAAGACAATTGAATATTGCAATCATCCTCCGTTCTCCCTTTTGAATGTTTTTTTTTAGTCTTTCCAAGCAATTCGATCGTTTCTGTTTTATTAGTTGATGATAATTATGTTTCTGAGATGGATGGGAGCTAGATGTAGACATAGCAGTTAACTCTTTGGGGCAATATTTTGTTTTATTTCTTGTGCACATCTTTACCTATATATTCCTAGCATCTACATGTATGTAATTGCAATGAAACTGTCTTTCAATGTGGTCATTTATTATAATCTCTTCTATCAATTTGGTTTGTAAATGAATGATTTCAATCCATCATTTGCTCAGGGTTAATTATCGGGGGCTGCTTTAGACAGACAATCATGTCCAAATCAAAAATAAGGGCTATTTGAAAGTTGAAGAACAATTTAACAATTCAACTGTTTCTATTTGTTGAACAAATTTATGAGCTATATAGTTTATTCTTTTCTTTTCGGCAGCAACTTCATAAAAAACAACAATCAAATTATCTGCCTAGCAGTTCTGTTTTAGTTTCATTTCATAAGATAAGCCAATAGAAAAGAAAAAAACTTCTATATGGCTACTTTGTAATAGAATTAAAAAAAATGATCAAGAAAAACATTTTTTTCCCCCCTAAATATTTCCATAAATGTGTGTCATCACCCCTGCTTAATAAAATGAACAATTTCTTTTCAAGAGGGAGAAAATATCTGTGCATTATATGAAATACATTTTAACTATATTATTTTGTGATTTTAAAACGATGTTTTATATATATATATATATGATTCTAGTTGGCATTTACTTAAAGGTATTTGACTCAACGTCTAAATTTGAAGTAATTTATTTTCAGAGGATTCTGCATGAAGATCTTTAATCTATAAGAAATCTATAACAAAAATGATATCTGTATATTTTGAATCTAAGAATACTATAAAAGAGGCAATTATTTTCACAATAGAATTGGCTGAATTCAAGCAAATTATTTTGTAGATGTTTCTTCTTCTTCTTCTTCTTTTCTCTTTTACATGTGTGTATCAGCCGGAATATTATTTTGCACATGATAATAGAGAAGTGGGATTATGACATGAGCATCTCATTTATATGCACTGCGAATGTAAACAGTTGCGACGTTATATGCAAGTGAATTATTGCCATGTTTATTTGACCTTATGTGTACTTCTGCTGTAGTTGATTACAGTAGAAATGGCATGTTAAGTGTAAAGTGTAGGGTACATACATACAAGGTGCCATGTACATGTGAAATGCTTTTAGGGGAAGTTATATATAGGTTACCAAAGCGTTGTGTAGAGGGCAGTGTTCTCTTCATAACGGGTTCTCTTTATAATGGATACTCTTTATAACGGGTTCTCTTCATAACGGGTTCTCTCTATAATGGGTTCAAACAGAACAGTTTATGCATGATATGAAACCATACATATGTTTATGTGTCATCCCTCTGCATGAAAGGGATGCATTAGTCATTACATATCACATTTACCATGTGAAATCATTGTTCTATTTTGTGATGGAACATACATGTACATTTTCTAGCTGTGGATTTGTTTCCAACCATATGTTGTTTTGTAGGGACCTTGTGTGTTTTGATATTATGTTATGTGTTTCTCTCATGGATTTATGGATATATGCAACCTTATTTTATATTTGAAATCAAATTAAAAGCATTTAGGTTCTGAATTTTAAAAAAAGAAGAAAAATTGAGGCACTAATTTTCCTAAAGCGTAAATTGGATGAGGAAAGTCCTACTGTTTTTTACTTTAGAGCATGGAGACATTGGAAGTAAAAACTTGTACCTCTAAGTACCAACCTTATAAGCCCTAGTTTTGGACGGAAGAAGTTCAAGGATGGATTTAGCTTTGTGAAGGACGGTTTGGTACATATTGGGCAACCCTCACAGTAAAACAGAAGTTTTTGTTTTGTTTTGATGCAAGACATGGTTTGTCAGGTGCCAGAAGGGTATTACATCTGTGTTATTATGAATTAATAAATGCCTTTCTGGATTTCAGCAAACGATTTTCGCTCAATTGATATCAAACCCCTTCACCTCTTATCTCATAGCACCATTACCTTTATTATGGTGCACATTGCCTGTAACATGTGAAAGAGAGGTTGCATATAAAGTCCAATGTTCTTCCTTTTTTGTCATCATGGAATGATTTTTTTAGCCTCGCCTCATCTGTAGGGAGTTTTAATCTTTGTTTCTTAACTTTATTTCAAGTTAAAGCCAGACTAATCAGTGAAAATCAAGTAAAAGACAAAATTTAGTCATTGTAATTTGTTTTCAGTTTATATGTTGTTTTATGATATATGTTTGTGCATAACCTTACCCAGAAATATGATGTACTTAATTCAATCAATAATCCATTATTGCCTTTACTTACTTAAGACTAATTTCAGTCTGTATGTTGTATTATAGTTAATATATATTGATTTATAAAGAGGGAAATCAGAAGTATGGTGTATTGAAAATGGCACGCCACACCGATCTATTACGAAGAGAAATTGTACAGTAATGTAAATAAGTATATATTTGCTATATTGTCAAGATACTAGAGAAGAGAAAGTAATGATGATATGTAGAGCTTTTATGATTATAATATGGTCTGAAACAATTCTAGTTGACATGTATGCCTTTTTAGAAGTTGTAAGAATTTTTTTTACAGCTTGTAATGTACTTCTTGGTATGAATCCTATACATGTATGTATGAAATGTATAATGTTAATATTTGTATGAAAACAAGATCGAGACTGATTGTTCAAAGTTATAATGCGTATTGCATGCCTTTATACTGGTAAGAAATGTTCTTGTTTAATTCTTTTTTTCTTCTTCTTCTCCTTCAGTACAAAAAAACTGAGCATAACATTTTGATCACTCTTATAGCAATACTCCGCATTTTGCATGTTTATTAAAGGGAAGTACGTTTTTATTTTAAAGTCAATTATTTGAATATTGTCCATTATGAAGGTGAAGGTAGGAGAAAAGGTGAGTGAACTCTGTAAAGTTTTAAACTCATACTGTCCATTTGACATTATATTGAACTTATAGTGTATGCTCATGTAATGTTTTCTTTTTAAACGGCACCAATGCATTTTATATTACGATTCTGTGACTTTCAAGAGATGGTTGTAGAATCATGTGACGGTTTGGGGTTGAAGCCTCCTTTGATATATGGGTTTATCATTTTGATCAAGTCTCCATGAGTAAATAAATAAACAAGTCTTCATGATGAAATGTTTAAAACAAAAGGAACTTTGTGTGAAAGATATTTTATTTAATGTGTGTCGAATGTTTTCCTTAAAGGTACTATGTCCCATTTGTTAAATTCCACCGGCATTTTTTTGGAAAGATAATACTTATTTAGAACTTCCCTCAAAACGAAAGGGCTTAAAAATATATAATATTTTTGTGGGAAAATAACAACCGTTAAGCTATGGTCACAAATCAGAGAAGCGACCGACCGATCAGTAGCCTGCTCGGTCGCTGCTGGAATTAGGCATCACCCAGCGATTAGTTCGGTGCCCGGGCGGCGACCGCCCAGGCACCGAGCGTATTTTGGGCGGCGAGTGAAAAGTGGGCAGGCGCCGCCCATATTTTAACTCCGCGCTAAAACTTCAGCGGCGACCAAGCGATGCCCTAAAAACGAGCGGGGCCTGGGCGGCCGCCGCTCGGTGGCCAGGCAGCCGCCGGGCAGAATTGGTTAAAAACTCGCCGCTCGGCTGCCGAGCAGGCTACTTGTGGGTAATGTGACCATAGCATAAGTTGTTGAATCGATGTTAGGGATTGCAATCCTTCTAGTAGTGCGATTTTCAGACCCTTGTACATTTTTTGCTGTGCAAAGATTAAATCAGTTTAATTTGGGCCATTACAAGAAGTGGGTTATTGATGTAGACAAATGCTCATGTACCCTTTACAGCTCATTATGTTATTATCAAAGAAAAAAAGAAGTCAGTCGGTCACTCAAGAGTGTCCTACAGTGAAGTCTAGAAAGTAAATGGGTTTTGTTGCATAATTTGAATAATAGGACACTGCTAACGTTAAAATTTCACAGATACATGACATATGTTCATAATTCCTGCAAAGTTCTCCAAAATTTGATGTTGGCTGCAAATGGGACATACATGTAGGACCTCTAATGTGTGTAAGATGTTTTCTTTGATGTGTGTTGGGTGTTTCCATGTGTAAGGTGTTTTCTTTAATGGTATGTCTCTGAAAAGGTTACATGTGCAAGTGTTAAAATGTTCTCAAATACTAGTCATGACAAAGGGATAAAAACCCTGATTGAATTCATCAAGTACCACAACAAAACAAAAAGAAATAAGCTAAAAATTGAGGAGACCAAGAGAACCTTTGATCATGTGTATGAATAATTAGACATATCCTTTGAATACAACATGATAAATAGATTGATATGCACAATCTAAGTGAAAGTGTTAGATAAGGATATCCAGTAAGAGGTTAGATGCCCTATACAGAGTGGAGTTGGAGAGTAAGGTTACCCACAGATGAACAGGAAGAGGAAATCCTCTTGATAACAATAGTCATCACAACACAACACTTTCTTTTAAACAAATGTTGTTCTTTCAAGATTCTGCAATAATATCTCTCAGTATCTTTGCTAGGCATACTGCAGGGCTCAAGACCAGTGCACATGTGACCCTAGATTTTCACTCTGAACCCACACCCCCCCCCCATAAAAAATATGTTAAAGGTCCTGTTGCACACAGTCACAGACCAAAAATATTGCTCCAGACCCCAAGCAAAAAAGGTGGTGTGGAGCCTTACGTATAGTACCAGGTCATAACCGGCACTTCCTTTATATTTTAAAGGGATTTTTGTTTGAACTCTACAATAAATGCAGTGAAATAAATAGTCGAGTCCAAGATTGTAATGTACATGTAAATGTAGTTTATTTCGAAATAGACTCCAACCACATACAATAGAAAAAAAGTTATATACAGTAAAGATATTTACATTATGTTATAAAGTAGGAGATATTATCGCAGGGGTTGTTTCTAAGAGAGAGAGAGAGAAAGAAAAGAAAACTCAAAGGAATGAGTAATAAGTATATTTGATCTGTTTTAGGAGAGGGAAGTTTCTTGTATAAGAAACGGAAGTTTGCAAACAGCCTATTCCCACTGGTACACACAATAAACATGCATATTACATATCAGAGACTACATGAGATCCCACTCTTCGCGCATGCGCACAGTCGTCTTCGCAAGCTATTAAAGGCTTATGGAAAGTAACTTTTCATGGTGCAAATTATACTTCAATTTTCATCGAAAATCTTTAGTATATATAGTAAACGAAGTTTACTTTGACTTATTAAATGTTTTTTTGACGTTTTGATCGGGTTAGACGCTGTGAAGGCATTTCCCCTATCGTTTAAGAGTGATTCAGGAAAATTTTGTTTGTACGTGAGTCATGAGTTTCACGAACAATGTCTATGCACACAGCGGATTTCTCTTCCTTGACACTCTCATAAAATAACGATCAAACTTCAAACAGTAAGTTCTTGTTTATTCTTTCAAATATAGTGATCTCTTTTTTATTTGAGCATAAAAGAGAACTCGCCCCACGAACTGTATTAAAGCTCTGCAACAATTTGATCTCAAAGACATACATGATTATTATGCAAATCAATAAAAGTAAACCTTTGCATTATTGGAAAGGTTGGGGGGGGGGGGCAGTATTTCATCATGTTTAGCACCACTGAAATGACCTGTGCCATTCCAATTCTATACACATTAGAATTTGAATGTTTTTGAATCCCAGAGTCTGTTCCATTTTGTTATTACAAACAAAACAAGTGTTCCATTTTCCCGATTTCATCGTTTGCTAATCGATTTGAAAGGACTGGTATTAAATTATGTAAGCTGGCAATTTGTTTTTCTTCATATTTATATTATGGAGTAAAAAACAACAACAAACAAACAAATAACCTTGATGTGTTATATATGTATTTAAACTTGTTAAATTGGTAATCTTTATTTGTACTGGGCCTCTCAGCAAAACAGTTTTAATACTGAGAAAACTACCCTGTTTAAATGAAACAAATGAATAAATAAATCAATAATTTATTAAATAAATAAATAAATAAATAAATGGTACCCTGAGCTATTATCATTGGGGGATCATGATACAAATGGATGAGTGCAACTTTACTCAATTTCGGTATATTATACACTTTTGCATCATGACTAGTATGAGAAATTCCCTGACTCATGATCAGTAATTAATGTTGTTCTTGACAATCCGAAAACTTGTTGTTAGGTCCCCAGGAAAGAAACATCCATAAATTTGAATATGTTAGTAAATTGGTCTATTGAGCTGTCAAGAATGTGCCTCTTGGAGGGAGTAGCCATGGCTTCCAAGCTTTATTGGGCATCTGGCAACCTGTAAATGAGGCAGAAATGGAGAAGTGCTTGTGGGATGCCATTCCCTGCTGACAGATCATAATGTCAGCATCGTCACATTTGCTCAGTACGGTCCCCAATACATATAATATTCCAAATATAAGCAAAGGCATCAGTCAGTCTAACATAACATGTGTTCAGTATGTTCATCAAGATTTGTGACACCCCTCTAAGATAGTTAAAGGTCCACCAGCTGTCCTTCAGAAGACTGGTAACTTTTCTCTGCTTCATATAAGGTAAATAAACCAAGTCCAAGTCATTGAAGTCACACCTGTTCCGAGAGAGTACCGGGTAGAGTACTTTGTGAGAAAGGTTCATCAATCTCTCCAAACAACCTCTACTTCATCTGTCCTATACCTGGAGATTTAAAAAAATAAAAAATAATAAAAGAACGATAATATATCGGCTATTAAAATAACTTCACTCTCAATTAACAAAATACAAAACTTGACATGACAGTGTGATGTTTGAGATATTCACACGTCACAAATTTGATAATCTTCATCACATTAAAGGTAAAGATCAGTTTTGGAAATGCCCCCCTCTCAAAAAATGAAATGGAAGCTCGTATTACCAATCATGTGAAAGAATATGTTTTGACTAATACGTGATGATACAAATTTTGCAGGCAAACCGCCTACTAATTGATATATTTGGTAAATTATTATATCTATCTGGACCGGATACATGTAGATATCGCGCACGTGTCGCGTAGTCCAATATACATCTTTCTGTGTACAGGGCTTGTAACTTTACTCAGACTGGGCCAAATTTCTTATCATTATGATGATTCCAGAACCTTGCAGTACACACCAATACTTGTATGCTAGATGATCAACCTTTTCTGATTGATTCCAAAACGTTTCTTCCACAATGCAATCGCATGACCAGAACTGGTCTTTACCTTTAACAAATTTGTACCTTTCCCATTAATATTTACACTCTGAAAATCAAAGAACTTGTTATATCAAACAATGTTATCCAGTATAAAGAGATGTTCACAAACTCGATGATAATCACAACTTCAAAAATAAGAGAGAAAAAGTTTAATGACCCCAAAATGTCCAAAGGAAGAGTAGTCTTGTTAAACTGATATAAGCTTACTCATATGATATATTTTTTTATAATACCGGTACCAAGTATATCATGTGGCACATGAAAATGATCTTACCTCTGGGTAACCCATGTTTCTTCTAGAGGAGTAGTGATACCAGCATTGAACATCTCTAATCCAGCCTGGGCTATCATCGCTCCATTATCAATACAGTACCTAAGCAAACAACAAAAAGTGAGCAATATTTAGTGGCTACCTCTAAAGAGCATCCTATATAGTGCATTTGATTGTTCAAAAAAGGAAGAGTAAAATAACAGTCATCCCCCCAATAAAAGTTGTAATTTCAACTTTTATTCCTACTATTCAGTCCTGAACTCCCTTAAATATGACTTTTTCCCCCCAATGCTTTTGGATTCGTAACCTGACATTAAAAAAAAATAAGTAATAGCATGCTGTTTATCTCTCAAAAATATATAGAAGGAAGGTAACCGTAAGAATATACGTAGATGTTAAAAAGAAATGGGTCCCCCCCTTTTGGCTATGGCTCTCAACAGTCTATAAGGTTTGTGTAACTATGTCAAATTCAAGAGAAATCTGTGAAAGATGCAGTAGTCCTTTTTTTTCTTCTAAGAATGGATTACGTGATTTACCTATCATCAGTAGCACACAACGAGGCTCCTCTCTCTTCAGCCATCTTACCCATCATCTCCTGTAGCCTCATATTACCTAGAAGATAAAGAAAATCAGGAACAGAAACAAATTCCTTTAATATTAAAATGGACAACCATCGTGTGTATGTGTAATTGGGTTTTTACAGACATGTATCAATCAGATATGATTAATGTCTGAGGACAGACCATAAACGTCACCATCCGAGAAACGCGACTCAAGTTTCGAACCTGCGTCCTCGGCTGAATCAGTTTGTAACTTCCATTGTTGGCTTGATTACAGACTCACACCACAACGATCCGTTGATATCCCCTTGATATCAACCTTCTTTAAGTGAAAGTTTTCCCCAAAAAAATAGAGAAAGAGGTTTATGAAAGATATGACCTCTATTCAGCTCATTCATGTGACTATGATGTTGGCCTGGGGTAATTTTTTTCTCAAACTGTCAGTAATCTTTCTCTGCTTTTTCTGCTGCTACTCAAATTCTACCTAGAATGTAGATTTTGATACTCGAGGGAAAGGATTCTTATAATAGGTCTGATAAACATTTATATTGCATAATCTTAAGGTGCACAAAACAAGGTTCTCTATTAAAAGTGTAGTTCTTTAAAACAATATATAATGCAAAGTGTAATTATAAAACAAAGGGATATTCTTTTAACTTTGCTTTTCACACCAACATTCGAGGGTAAAAAACAATCCAAAATATGAGATCCAGGAAGGTTTCATTTCCATACATTAGAATTTATCTATAGAATATTTCCATAATTATATTTAAGACATTTGGGCAATTTTATATGAATATGGAAAACTAGTAACTTACATCCGACACCACCTACAATAAGTACTTCTGATGAGCCGCAATGAGCCATAGCTCTCTCTGTAATTTCAACCAGCATCGCAAAGATTGTTTCCTGTTGGTGGAACCAAGAAACAATATGAAATACATATCTTCGATCAATGTCAATGTAGGGTTCTGGGAAAGAAGGTGATCTAAATTTGGCTCGTTAAATTCTAATGCATAGCATAAGTAATTGATTTAGTAAAAAGTAAGATGAACAAGTCATACATTTCTTGCACTACTCTGTATTTACAGGAGTAAAAAATAAAATAAAATAATAATGACTGGAGCTAGAGATTAAGGTCGAGTACTCTCTAATGAAAATAAAAAGGCAATAATTTAAAATTTATTGAAATTCAATAAATATTCAATATCTTTGTACACAAATTATAGAATTAATTAAAATATACACCCTGCCAGCTCGCAGATAGGCAACTAGGGTGTATTGATCTGTGTAATGATTTTCAAAACATTCAAATTTACCAGTGGCAAATGATTCAAATTCAATCAAACTGCCACAGTAGCTGTAAATAATATTGGGTATATAATAGACTGGTATTCATGGATGTTTCTTTTGTTGGGGCCTACTGACGAGTTATTCCATTAAGCTGTCATTAATGAATGAACAACAGTACTCGGAATCCAGTCTGCATGCATTACTTCTTGCTATGTCAGGCAAGCCTCGGACAAGCTTTTAGGGTGTCAAGGACAACCTGTTTAAAAAGTATGCATAAAATTTGAATAAGTTAGTAAAACAGTCTATTGCCTGAACAAATGCCCTCTCAAGTTATAACTACCTGTAATGAGAAGCAGAGATCCGCTGGAGTGCATTTTCCAGACTTCAGCTTCTTGTGAGCCACGTCCTACAAACGGAAAGGATCATATCGAGGGTTCAGCGACACAAAGACGTAACTCCATATGTTGCCAAAATTAGTATTTGATATCAAAATGTTCAGAAAAATGCGGCTATTCCAGGAAACGCAAAGACTTAACTCCACCCAACACCCCATTGAAGTCAAAGGCTAGTGAAACATAGACTTAACTCCTTGAGGCCCGAGTGCTCAGTGACACATAAACCACCTTTTTCTCAAAATGGCCAAAATAGAGTTACGTCGTGTTGTCACTGACACCTCGATTTCCGTATTAATGATCTCATCACCTTCAAGCTTTCAAAGTCAATGGAGTATCTTTCTTTCTCATTCTATAAAAGAGTATGGCATTGCGACATCACGTTCCTACATCACTAAAGTTCCTGTTTCTAAATCAAGAACAATACGTAGCCACAAGCCAGACACTTCCCCTGCCTGCCACATTGCCTTCACAAATTTGAGTATATCAAAAGATCATTGTGTAAATAAAAAAGTATCTCCTTACATGCATGTAAGGTCTGAATTTCTGGAATGAGGGTCAACGTAGAAAAGGTTGATATATACAGTCAAACCTGCTTTACTAGTGACCACCTGTCTACAAAGACCACATTTTTTGTTTCTCTTGAAAATGGTTTCTCAATGAAACATGTACTAACGGAACCTGTCTACAAAGACCACTTTTTGCGTTTCCCTTGGGCGGTCGCTATAGACAGGTTTGACTGTACTTGTAATTACAGCATAAAAATGTGCGGATAACTGAAGAGAACCTTCGACTTGTCTCACCTCAATAAAAGACAGTAGACCAGAGAAAGAAACATCCATGCCTTTCACCACATAAGGCAGCTCGATGTACTGCTCTCCTCTGGGGAAAACGGAAGAAAACAAAAGAAAAAAAATCTCAGGATTTGAAATAAACGCACACTACACTGTATATAGTTGACATTTGCATGACTTGTTAAATTTCGAAAACTTTAATACTATTTTTTTCTTTCAAAATCCATTCATTGGTAAACAAAGGCTCATTAAATATGAAAGGATAGATCTACAACAATATTGTGTATGGCATTGACCTCAATGGTGGATAATAAACAACAAATAAAGTTAACAATCTCACATATTGAGCCGGAAATGCTTATAACACTCTCACGAAGGAAGCACAATAGAATATACAGTTTTTTTTTAATTTCAAAAATGGCAAGCATGAAAACCTCCACATTTTTTAATTGATAAACACTATTTTGCAATTAAAAAATAATTTGTTAATGTTATTTCTAAATAATCGGGGTTGAAATCATCATCTGATAATTACTTGCTTCAGGTATACACCAGGGATCATTCACAACTTTGAAAGTTAATATCTGATTGCTCAAAGAGAACACATTATCTTTGCATTACTTGCTTGTTGCACAATTTTACACTTACTTCTTGGCCATCTGTTCAATGTTGTACCCTGGGCTGGGATCATTAGAAAGCTGTGAGAAAAAAAAATTCAAAGTGTTAAGGATGGGCTCTGAAAATACATGTGTAATTACTTTGTTAAAAAAAAAAAAAAAAAAAAGGAAAAAATGAATAATAATAATCCTGTCTTCAAAATATCAACAAAAATAAATGTCACATACTTTGAGTACCTTTGACTGCATATAAGAATATTTTCTGTTTTTTTACAACGCTTAAAATAAACCATACACAACAAGCGAGTAATCCAGTTCAATGACCGATTTCATCTACAGGTTACAACTAGTAAATTTCACATTCCTCCTTGTTTACAAATTCTGACCAAGAAATTGTTTATATGTCAATTTCCTGTAGATTTCTTCATTCCTGCAGTCTCCTAATTCTTGAGTTGTAAGTTACACGCCTGCTAGTGTAAATTACAGGAAAGTATTTCCTGTGTAATATACAACCTGTCAATCAAAGCTGTCCTTGAAGTTGTATGACCTTCTTAATCTCTTAAACTAGGTCAAGTTCACTGATACTGTTCTGAGCTGGTAAATAATTTTTTTTTTTCCATTTCAGTCCGTAGAAAAACATCTTTTAAAATATTTTGTAAAAAGTTGCTCTCAATCTGCTCCAAAATACATGCAGTGCCCTTTTAATCATTATAGCTAAGTAATGATTTATTTGTCCGATTAAGTTGGTATACTATGGCGAATATTGGAATTGTGTCAAATTAAACAATGTCATGAGCAAATTGAGCATTATGACTAGAGAATACAAATCTGGGAATAAAAATATGTTTTTGTTGCTTCATTAATATTTCTAGTTCTTACCTTTAATATTCTAGCAAATCTATCCAGACAGTTCCCAACAGCTATGTCAATAGTTTCACCAAATATTCTGTAGCACTGTTGAGAGTACGCTATTACCTTTAAACAAATAAATGGATGAAGTATACATGCATGTGTAAATTATTCAGCTAGATATTAAAGAAGGGTTGATACAGCAAATACCATTGTCTTATAATTTCACAATTCTAGAGGTGGTTCTTGGGAACTCACTCTATTCTCAAATGTGTGATTTCTTGTCTCCAGACTTCCAAAGTCAGAGTGCTCTGCTACCTAGCCTTGCTTTATAGACCAGTCATGGAATACGGAAGCATCATCTGGGATCCCTTCACCCAAGCCAACATCGGGAAATTAGAGATGACCCAAAGGAGATATGCACGCTTTGTTTGCAATGACCATCACAGAACAAGCAGTGTCCAACCATGCTTGACCAACTACAATGGCCATCTCTGCAAGCGAAGCGAGCACAGGCAAAGGTAGCGATGATGTTCTGCATTAAGAACTCACTGATCTTCACCCCCCTGGCAGCTCAGACTCTATTGCTACCTGCTTCGCAAAGAGGCCATGACCAGAAACTTGAAGTGCCATATGCCAGGACACAAGAACTGCAAAGAACTTTCTTTCCTGATGCCACCAGGCTCTGAAACTCACTACCCCCAGGCCGCCGGCACCTGTACCTCTCTGCCAAGCTTTAAGAGAGAGGTACTCAAGATCCAGCTCCGTTAAGCTAGGATGTCTTTTCAGCTGCACATAGTTCTTTGTAAAATTGTAGGCTTTTTATCGAGTCACTATATATACACCTGCACCAGTACGAGAATACATCTGACGGTGGCCTGTACTTATAGCGAAAAAGATGAAGAAGAAGCATTGTTCGTACAACATAAAAATATCTATTATTCAGTGTGCTACATATTTTTTTCCCCCTCCAAAACACCTGCTAACTTTGACTAGTATCTAACAGAGACTGGACTACTTACTTGCGTGTTGCCACCACTGACATATAACACTGTAGGATTCTGAGCACCCGTCACCTGTCTACCCATCTCAATGTCTGTTTTATCAGGGGATAGTTTCATCAAGGAAATTTTAACCTGAATGTCTGTTACTACTGTTACTGTTACTACAGTTATTGGTACTACTATTAACTAGATGGAATTTTGACTGCGCGCAGTCGAAAATGATGCCTCCGCCATAGAGCAATTTAAACAAGTTTGGAGTTTAAATCTCCAGTGGTTCTTGCGATATCATGATAACAATCTCAATGTATGGAATTTCATAAGTTGACCTCTGTGACCCTTGACCTTTGACCTACGTGCTCCAAAATCTAATCAGATTGTCTTCCTATGGTGATACACACTATCATTAAGTTTGAAGTTTAAATCTCCAGTGGTTCTTGAGATATTATGATATGGTGATACATACTATCATTAAGTTTGAAGTGAAAATTCTCCAGTGGTTCTTGAGATATCGCGATAACGATCTCAATGTATGGAATTTTATAAGTTGACCTCTGTGACCCTTGACCTTTGACCTACGTGCTCCAAAATCTAATCAGATTGTCTTCCTATGGTGATACACACTATCATTAAGTTTGAAGTTTAAATCTCCAGCGGTTCTTGAGATATTATGATAACAATCTCAATGTATGGAATTTCATAAGTTGACCTCTGTGACCCTTGACCTTTGACCTACGTGCTCCAAAATCTAATCAGATCGTCTTCCTATGGTGATACATACTATCCTTAAGTTTGAAGTTTTTACATCTCCAGTGTTTCTTGAGATATCATGATAACAATCTCAATGTATGGAATTTCATAAGTTGACCTCTATGACCCTTGACTTTGACCTACGTGCTCCAAAATGTAATCAGATTGTTTTCCTATAGTGATACACACTATCACTAAGTTTGAAGTTTAAATCTCCAGTGGTTCTTGAGATATCATGATAACAATCTCAATGTATGGAATTTCATAAGTTGACCTCTGTGACCCTTGACCTTTGACATACGTGCTCCAAAATCTAATCAGATCGTCTTCCTATGGTGATACATACTATCCTTAAGTTTGAAGTTTAAATCTCAAATGGTTCTTGAGATATCGCGCTAACAAACTCAATACAAGGAATTTCATAAGTTGACCTCTGTGACCTGTGACCTTTGACCTACGTACTCCAAAATCTAATCAGATCGTCTTCCTATGGTGATAAATACTATTCCCGAGTCTTAAGTTTAAATCTTAAATGGTTCTTGAGATATTGTGATAACGGTCAAACGGGACGGACGTACGGACGTACAGCCGGACAACCCGAAAACATGATGCCTCCGGCACCACCTTCGGTGGCGGAGGCATAAAAATGAAAAGAAATGCGACTTCAATGAGACACAAAGTCATGCTCTTTCTCTTCATAAACAAAGGGCGACGGTCACTGATTAGGAAAGGAATGGCAGCCTAAGGAAGAAACCGGCACCATCTTTCAGGTCTTAACTCTTACTCAGAGCTGTCAACCCTCCCGCATTTGGAGGGAGTCTAACGCCACCACGCTCATTCTCCCGCCGCCCCAAAAGCTCGTAGCGGGAAACTCCCGCCACCACGCCTTCCTCCCGCTCTCCCGCCAACGATGTAGAATCTCCCGGTTTATGAAAAAACCTCCCGCCAAACCGTAACAACAGCGGCTGGCTGAGTCGTTGCGAAATTTTCCCGCTTAATCAGCGACTGGCTGGATTTGACACTAAATATTTTCTCAAAAAAAAAATCTCCCTCCAAGCAGTTTCCCAAAGTTGACAGCTCTGCTTACTTTAATTTTATTGAGTCATTTTAAATAAAGGTGTCATGATATATCTCTAAATGGAATGTTTCTTGATATCATGAGGTTTGGTACATGCTCTGGTGACATTTGCAAAAGGCATGATTTTGTCAGACATATATGCTTAGGGCAGGGTTGCAATTAGGAATATTGTTTGGTCTAGGGTTGAAGCATGTGTGTCATAGAACCTGTAAATTGTCATTCTATTCTGATATTTCTATCATGCATTCATTGATCACAAATTAATACTGGACAAAATACTTTGGTGATATGTCCTTTTCATGCTCTGCTCCACATTTGTGGAATTCTCTTCCAACCTTTTATGGTTGATAATTTCACTTTTGTTCTCTTGTCATTTTTCTGTTTAGTTTTACTTGCATCAATACTGTAAAGCACTTTGATATAAATCTCTTATGAAAAGCACTATATAAGTAGAAGTTATTATCATTATTATTATTATAATCAAAGGATACGTCCTATACAATGATTGACTCCTATAATGGGTACATCCCACAGCTGGGCCACTGTCCGTGCTACCACTGCAACCGAAAGCAGAGGAGCAGCCATCCCTGGACCTGTGAGGGCAGTAAACAAAAAAATAAATCAAAGAAAACCAGCTTCATGAAATAAATCTTATTACCAAATTAGACAATATTTTGTACTTAACCTAATTAGCTTCATAAAGAGTATTAAGTAGTTGGTCTTAAATGGTATGAATATAATAACTATTTATTTATTGACTTTAACTTTCAATGATCTATTTTATTCAGATGGTTTTGTTTGGGTATTAGACTAACAAGCTACCAAAGCAGGTTTAATGGTATGTTCATATTCTTGGCTTAAAAACTAGAATTCCATCATTATTTCACCTATGTAGAATATATACCGGTAACAAATTCATTTTGTTCTAATATGGTACATAAGTAAATAATAAGAAAGGGATAATTCTTACCTTTTGTATAGCAAACGCAGTCTATATCTTTTGGAGTTAGCTTAGCTTCATCCAAAGCCCTAGAAATAGAAATGATTATCAAGAGTAGTAAAAGGATGACAAATAACTAAGTTAGAACATACATGTAGCATTTAAGCTTGAAGAAAGTATATATAATATCAATTATTATATGAAGGTCTATGTTCTTTCTTATTCTAAAACTGTCTAATGCAGTGTATTTCCAAAGTCTTTAGAAAGAATATAAATTGAAGCTGGATACACTCTTGTCTGATTTCATATTTTGTTCTTGTAAGTTCGTTTTTATATTTATGACCAACAAAAATTGTATGATCTCACGACACGAGGGTTTTTTTATAAATGTCAAATGCAAACAAAATATAATGACAGTTGCTTCAGTGATGGTGATAAACACAACTCCTCTTTTATCAGGAGTAGTGATATATTTTCAAACAGCATCTGAGGAACTAATACTTCAACAAGCTCTGCTTCTAGTTATTTCCTCTTTTCTCATGCTATTACTATTATATTTGTTGTTTCATTGTATATTTTTGTTATATATTTATTAATTGTACTATGTTTTGCATGAGAAATAAAATGATTTGAATCATATACCTTCTCAGGATAGACATGATATGCTGCTGATGGTGTCTGGCAGTGTCTCTAGGCTGGAAACCTGAAACAAACATGTAAATAAGATATGTACAAAAAATATGTAACACACAAGTGTCACAAAACCATGTTAAAAGTAACAGCAAACAAATTGTAGTTTTTGCTTTTGCTTTTCTTCTTTAACATAAGATTCCACTACCAGTGATTAATTCTTGATTAGTGCGATTTCAAATCACTGTTTTATGCTGATCGAACACGATCAAATTTGGGAAGTTATATCAAAAATAAGAAGATAAACATTTCTCATCAGTAAGGAACAATATTGTAAAGGATTCGATGATAAATATGAACATAATTTTAAAAACCTGCCTCTTCAAGATAAAAAGAAAAAGAAATTAATATTAAAAACAACAACAACAACATATATATAATATATAAATGGTTTTCAAATAGATTGATTAGAAAACGGAAAATGATTGCCTTCACTGTAGTGAAGATGGAACTTACCTTCACCAGGTGGGGTGATGTAGGTGTGTCTTGGATTGGATAAGACTTCTCCATCTCTGACTATGCCGATACCAAGCTTGTTGGCACTGCCTTCAAAACCAATCACAGTAGGCATCCTGTAGCTAGTAGTATGGTTCACTTAGATATTCTCCTTAATAATCTAAATTTTTCGGGGAAAAAAGAGATAACATATCATGTGTAAAGAGTTTCTGACCACTTTCTATTGAACTTTATGTCTGAATCAATAATGTATTCACTCATAGTTGTGGGCTTGTAGCAGCCTAAGAGGTTAGAAACAGGTTCTGTCTAGTTTTACTATTCATTACTTTTCATCAAAAACACATTGGCCCGAATTAGTGCAAATTAAGCGTACCTTGGCTTGCGCTCGTCTAATATTGGACATCTGACTGTGTCGCGCTTAATCTTGCGCTAATTTTAGACCATGGGTCATGTAAATGAGAGTTTAAACCATGGTTTGAATTTAAACCTCCTTTTTGAATTCGGGCCATTGCTCTTAACAGGCAAATTATTTTTATTTCCCTCTATTCTTTGTTCTTTCATCAATAAAATTAACACTGAAAAATATTTTTTAGACGATTGTTCTCATGAAAAAAAATGAGTTGGTTTAGTGGCCACACTCCTCTGTTTTGCATCTTTTGGATTTTGAGCTTGACGGTCATTACCAGCTATAAATAATTCAAGCTGATGGCATCTGCAAAAATCCATTTCACATGACACAGCCACAGGGCAGAATATATTCTCTCAGAGTTTCATCACATACCAACGTTGAACTCATTCCACCATTCTTTTACATATGAACATGCTTCTTCTCACAATTTAAGCACCGTCATTTCTCTCCCTTTGCAAGATCTATTTTATGCTTCTAATTCTATTCTGAAGTAAAAGTGCATTTTAACATTCATTTATTGATTGAAAGTCAAAGACACCATATTTTTTGGTCTCAATTTCTGTATTTTTGAAGAAAAAAAGAAATATAGGTCTAGAGGTCAATCATATCATTATAGAAACTCTGGTATTGATACAAACGTTTCTAAAGCATGAGTTCATAATGGTCTCACCATTACGACTCAGTCACTGCCGCATGTTTTATCTTGCAAACAAGCCTTTACAAAAAATGTTAAGATATCGCATCATCATATTGGACATGTGGGACTGAAGTCAAGGTGGTGACTGAGACTGAGAAACAAAAATTGAATTTTCATTGGAGTTTAGGACTTTAAAAGTCTCATAAAATTTGATAAACAAACAATTAGAATAGATATCACTTCGTATTTTGCCAAAGTTTGGCTCTTTATTTCGTACTCACTCAAGCTTCGGGTGATAATTAATGAAATTTTAGTCGTCCGCTCGCTATCCTCTACACATGTGGTGTCTTCAAAGAGCATTTTGCAGAAAATAGGCCTTAATTTATCTTCAGCGGGGGAAAAATCATTCATTTCTTTTCATTTATTTCATTCATTTATTAGATTTGGTTTATGTGCTGTCAAACATGGGAAATTGGACTGTTCAAATAAGTAGTTTACAATGTCTTAATTGTAATTAGCTTAATTTGGTTTTGCAAAGTTGACTACGGCTTTAAATTATATTCATGACCAAGTAGAAGAACTCACTAAGTTGATTCAAATGTTTACATAGTTTATTCATAGTCGAATCTGAATGTTTTAATCGTGCAGGGAATGTACTCAATCGTCAGTAAATTATTCTCAGCAGTCAGCAGGCTACATGCATAGTTTTATAGGGGTCTCGATCCCGAAATTAGGAAATGTTTACTTGTAATATTTCCCAGTTCTCACACGTTTTGTAAAAGAGTCACCCATATATACGTCTCTAAAAAAATATTCTAAAGACCCGGCCTATTTGAAAAGTAGTAAGTACATACAATTTTAAATCATAGATTGTAATATGTCTGTTCATCGTGATTTGCCGACATGTAGATTATAGTTAACTATACTAATTAAAATGTTGACATATCTTTTAAAGTTAGACCCTGAGCTGGACGGTGTCTTAGAACGGACAGGACTACGCGGTAACCTACAGGATACAAAAATCTACATTTTGTCGGTATTTTTATTTATTTATTTTTTATTTTTTTCTTCATCTATTTTCTCTTTCATTTCATTTTAAGGGGGAAAAAAAAGAATAAAAAAAAAGAGAGAAGCCTATATTTAAATTATATTTTTGATACTCTTATTTAAAAAAAAAAGAGAAAGAAAGAAATTAATATTAAAAAGAAAGGCGTTGGTGATAATAGTCAGGTTTTGACTGATTGCCATTACAAAAAAAACAAAACAACATATTATGATTGAAAGGTGTCTTTCCCAATCCCATGTACTATTCGGCCTATTTCCCCTCTCTAAATTGAAAATTTATTTCCTTAAATATGCTAGGTACGTACGGGGTAGACAACCATTTCCCTTCAGCCCTTCTTTGGATTACCCCCCCCCCCCCCCCCCGTAGAATTTATTGTTGTAGATCTTCAATTAAACTTGCAGGATCATTCTCTATGTTATTATCTTTTTTTATTATTAAAAAAAGTAACAAAAGATTTATAGGGCCTACATGAGACCACCAATATTGTTATTACTCAATCGCCACAGCTATATTCATATAAATAGAGCTGCGAGGGGGTGTGGTCAAAAACAGTGAAAGCAGGAGCATCAATTAGGGGATTCCCCTTTCGGAAAGAAGAAAAAAGATGGGCGTGGTTCGACATAGATCTCAAGCATTGTGCTATGATGTCGTTGAATTGTCCTCCTCTTCTAAAAATGTTGACAGGGCCGTTTTCAATCAAAAGATATTAATGATACCTTGATCATACGATATAAAAATAGAAATTAAATCATCAAATTCAAGTTCATGACCGCGTATTTATTTTTTTGATGTTGACCTTTGACACGTGAGCTGAGCTGAGCGAGTGAAGGTGGACTAGACCTTATACTAGTATTACTACCGACTACTGACTTGTCAATTTACCTTGTTTAATGGTATTTATATTGAGAGTTTGTGTTTAGACACAATTTTATATAACTTGATACACTGGGAAAACTCAAGTGAATTATCTGGCCACATTATAAGGATGGAATTGAGGAGCGAAAATCCAGAAGAACAGAAGCAGCTGCAGACGGCGATGAAGGCTGTCGGGCAGGCAATTCAACTTGATACCAGCGGCAGCGCTCCGGTGAGTAACAGAGTGCAGTTCCGTACGGAGAGGCGTAGGACCGAGTGTGAGCAGTGCAGTGTGAATATTGAATGATTGTCTGATTGAGAGAGAGGGAAAGAAAGACCAAAACAGTGGTTAATTTTAGCGTTGTCCCCCAAAGTGTCGAAGTTCTGCCATCAATTTTATTTATTAAGAACAATTTTGAAGTAAAAAATCACATTGAGAACTTGTCTGTAGACTAGTAGTAGTAGACCTACATCGTCATCAACTGTGGTGTGCATTGACTTTGTCTAAATCACTTTCTGACTTGTTCTGCTTATTGAATATTATTAAACTTAGATGAAACATAGCGGGCTGTTTGGCATGTGAAGATGCAAATAGAGGGCTATTTGCTAAGGAAATCTTCCAAAGATATCTTGGCCTAGTTTGCAAAATAGCCTGTTTGTCCAGTTTTTCTTCGCCAGCCCAAAGACTCACACTATGCGCTCTTTAATACTGAGCAAATTTCTCGGGCTCTAGTTTCGATCTGATGAAGATGCAATTTGTAACTTCGGGCTAATATCCCGCATCACAATTTGGTTACAAGTGTCTTGTCACCGATTTTACATTTGTTCATTCTAGTATTGTATGAGTATACATCTTATTCTTCTTCTTAAAAATATTCATTAATCTTAACCTCATTAAACTGAATTTTCTTTGGACATTTTCATGCACACTGTATGTTCTTTATCATATTTGAGAGTTAAGACACATGATTGGACCACTTCTATGATCAGGTCAAAATGATGAGTAGGCCTAGTATAGATTAGTTAAGAGAATTTTTTCAAAATGTATGACTCAGGAGGGTCTTTTCTTTTCAGAGAACCTTCAATAATATGCTACCCAAAATAGATTTTGAGATGTCCCCCAAGGGAGGAGGCACCTACATGTACATGTAGGAGAAATACTGAATTTTATTTAATGGGATCATTGTCCATCAATACATTACAATCCAGTGACCAAATGGCCAATAGATCATCAATAGAATTGCATAAATTTAGTGATATCATATTTCAAACATCTGTGACTTTCTTATTATTGATCAGATTTATCTTAAACTTTTGCCATTCCGTTTTCTTATTTTTTCTGCTTTCGTACAAATGAAATTATTACAAGGGTTGAATTGCCCTTTAACTTGAACAATATTAGTACTGAGACATGGTTTTGGTTTGGTTTGGTTTTATTTTTTAGATAAAAAAACATGATTTTTTTTTATGAACATAAAAAATTATGATAATTATTTTAAAATACAGCTGGAATGCTCTATTCAGAGCCTTTAATTAAATGGCTCTGTTCTACCTGAGCTTGAGTAATGATGGAAACTGGAAAGTAAAGTCTTACAGAATCGAACAAATTTATCATAGATTCTGCAAGACAGATAAGTGCTAATGACATGTATAATACTGTAGGAGGATAATGTATGGGTACAGGAAAGTATAAGAGAAATGCTTTTTAGTGAATAAGCTTCCAGCAGTCTTTTGAAAATAATCAAATTCTATCTTGGGTTATAAACACAGGCAACATGAGATAAAGCCTGAACATGACAGGACAATGCTTTCTTTTATAAAAAAAAAAGTGTATATTGTTTGTTTTTTGTTTTTTATTTTGTGTTAATTTTTACTTGAAATCATAATTCAGCTAATTTTGCTTATTTTTATTAATACCCACTTTCCTTAAATGTTATAACTGTATCTCTGGTTGAAAAGAGGGCCCTTTTGAATGTTATACTGTATTATAGATAGAGAATTATTGGAGTTTAATCAGTTGTATTGGTTAAACTTTGCTACATATTCACCCATTGTGGGTAAGATTATAATTTTGTTTGTGATTTTGCTCAATCATTATTTTATAAAGTGAAAAACTAAAATTCTATTGAATTGTCATTGATCAAGGTAAAGTGCATACATTTGTGCATGATATTGTAGAATCTTTCTTGAAGACTGTGTATAAACATGTACAGTGTATGTAATTCATTTTTGATGGAAATGAATAAGTAAAGAAAGAGTTGGATGATCATTGTGTTTGCATTTTCCATTGCGGAGTCTACATGTTTAAAATGCAGTAGTAGAAGGTTTAACTTTCTTGGCAGGAATGGAAATCATGTGTGCCAGTAGGAAATTGGCAGGAAATGCTAGTTTTTGCGGAAAGAAAATATTTTGTAGCTTTGCAGCTCTGTACTTTCATTCTCGTTGAGTGTATATGGTTTAGAGTAGTTTTATTTTCACCTTGATCCTCACAATGTAGTTGGGAGAAACAGTTTCTTGGACTGAATTATTCAATTTTATTAGAATGACATACATGTATGTACATGTTTATTGTTTGTATGTAGCATTACATTATAAAGTGAGCATGTCAATATTTGTTTTTCTACAGGAAATGTGATTTGTCACAACCTTCAACAAAAAATGTACATGTAGGATATTCAATGTATGTTATTTGCACTCACAGTGTATTTCAAAATGAACAAGTGTATGCTCTTTTTTATATCAGTGAATTATATTTCTATCGTACATTAAAGTGTACATTACATACATAGGAGATATCAATAGGGGATATTAACAAGTACCGGTACCCTTATTTTGTCATTGTGTGCAAAATTTGACAATTTCTTAAATTTAACAATTTGCTATTTTTGAATGACTGTTGACTTTATTTTATAGGGAATATGTTTCCTTCTTATTCTCTTTCCAGGATGCCTATCTTCACTATCTGAGCTGTATGCAGTACATTTCACAATGTTTATTGCAAGATGCAAGAGCTAAAGGTACGTATAAACCAAAAGTACATTTCTGTTGCGTAACCAAAGTATGTTATAGTTGGATTATGTAAAGGTAAAAGTTCATACATGTAGGAAAATTCACATCGAGGACAAATTAGCTGTACCCCTTTCATTATTGGAAGTGGAACAAACAAAAAAAAAAGGACAGGAGTCACGTTGGCTCAGTGGTAGTGCAGTAGTTTTGTAAACAGTAGGTCCCAGGCTCGAAACCAAGTCGATGCGCTTGTGCCCTTTGGTAAGGCATTAATCCTCATTAAGTCCCTCAGAGATGACTTAAGCCGTCGAGCTTGAGCTTTCCTAGCAGTCGCGTAAAAAACAATCAAACAGACACAGAAAAGTCTTTGTTACATTACTATTAAAGATATGGAATTTTGCCGTTTTCAAACAATCTGGCACCCCGAACCCCTCCCCCTTCAGATGATTCTGGAGTCATCCTTTTGATAATACCATTGACATGTTTAATACTGCCTGATTTATACAATTATTACAAATGCAAGAATTGCACATCTTAAGTTTGCATAAAATTTCATCAGTAAGTCATTTGATTCCAGATGGCTTGAGCGATTATAGCAATAGTTATGATATATATCTCATACTATCCTTTCCAAAAACTGTCCTTTTTAGGAGCAGATTTCTCTAATTGTTTTCCTTTTCTATGTACAGTTTGCCAAGCACCGTCCGTGAACCTGAAGACCAAAGGATCAATGAAGATGGTGAAACTTGCTCAGCAATGCAGTGAACGGGTGGCTGATATCATGAACAACATGGGTAGGTCATCAATACTTGTTAGATTTAGCTAAAGCCATCCGTATTAGTTTGGCCAGGGGGGATTAGACGACCCTGCAAGGTCACTGACGGGTAGTTTTCTCATCAAATCAGCTCTCAATCAACATAAGAAAAAGTGGAGCATGGGGGACCAACAGGCATTGTTTGTTATATAGAGGGCGCAAGTAGCTATAAGTAGTGCGGTGGGGCTTTAACTACATCTCTACTCTGTGGTTTATACTGGAGTATCTGTATATGAGAGCTGTCATGAAAGTATGAATATGAAGATGGAAGAACAGAGTTGGAAGAGGTTGACTTCTGTAGTATTAAACTAAAAATACACTTCGGGAGGTAAAGAAGAGTGAGATTTTAGAAATAGGGAGAATCAATGAGAAAGGTTAGGAGAAGAGGTGATATCTTGACTGTTCTGTACTAAATATGAGCAGTATGAATTCATAAATTGATGAAGGTACGTTTATATTTGTATGTAGTTAATGATGTCTAAGGCTTATATTTTGATTCCATTTATTTCACACAGAAGAAACATCCACTCCGACCCATTTCCCCCTTCTAGCCACACACCAGACAGCAACCTTGTCACCCTCTCCTACACCCCCTTCATCGCTGACATCATCGATGTCATCCTCCCTGTCACCATCGCTGTCATCGTCGATCCCATCAGGTCGCATCAGCCCATCCATGTTTCCAGCTGTGCCCTCCACCTTCTCACATGCTGCACCCTCCCATGTTGCTGTGGTACGACCCACTGTTCAGCAGCCTGATCCGCAGAGGTCCCCTGCTCCAAATGCATCTCCAAACCATCAGAGGTAAGATTTATCCAGAGGGAAACTTGAATTTTTCTCATTAAATCCAGTATTTCAATTTTATTACATTTGTGAAGAATGGGTCTTTGTCTTTTTTTGAATAATTGTACCTTGAGTATAGTTTGGAGAGTTGTGCTTTATTGAAAGGAGGAGGGATAGTCTTTCAAACAATTTTGTTATTATCGCAGCCTTCAGAATGCATCTATTTGTCCACAATCCACAGGCCCACCAGATGTGACCTACATGTAGGCATTTTCCAAGACTTTGAATTATAAAGATAAATTATATTTGCCTGTATATAGTGGCAACATTGAACACAGAGCCAGCTGATACTAATTTGTATAACATCAGAGACATGTAAAAGCCTATTTACATATTGTGGATTTTTTTCTCCTTGAAATTTTGTGTAAGAAAAAGAAAAATCTATGAAAAGTCTTTGACCAATTTTTTGGAAGTAAACAATGAGTGAATTACTTGTTCCTATGAAATGATAAAAATCCAGGCCATAGTATTGTGGTTAAACTTGTCATTTTTTGTCTCACCAGTTTACAAGGAGTTAAAGAGAACAAAGTAATACCCCTCTGAATTTTTTGTTTTGGTAAATGTGTCTGATGAGGTGAATTTCAGTTCATATGTCAGTCATCTCGATCATAAACAATATTATTAGGAAAATCACAATCTCTAGCTGCCAGATGGTCTGTAAAGGTCGTACACTTTCTTGGAAAACTAGACATGACATTTAAGTAACCAGGGGGGTGTTTCACAAAGATCCGAAGTCTAACTTAAATCTAAGTTGGACTTCAAAATTACGGAGAGCCATTTGTAGCCTTAAAATAAAATATATTCAGAAGCGAAAATTCAAGTAATTAAAACTTTTATAAATTCCACATCAAGAACATTAAATCTCCTTGATAATGGAAAATATGAATGATTTGAATCGACATTTAATATAACCTGTACAAAATATTTTCATAGATGCTAACGTCCAAGTCCAACTTAGAGATAAGTTCAAATTAGGATCTTTGTGAAACACCCCCCTGGCTTGTAAATAGTGATGCCTTGACCGAAACTTAACCATGCAAGGGTTATCTTTTTCAAGTACCCTATCAGAGTATCTAGACTATTATTTATGAATGATGTCATCAATAAACAAGCAAGCAGGTCAGGGATATTTCTCCTGAACTTCAGAATCGATTTTGTAATTTTCCACTGGACTTTGATTGAAGTGGGATGATTCTTTCAAGGAGTTTCACAATGGGTTCATTCCATTTGGGATTTGTCTTATTATAAGAAGAGGGTCAAAGATGATCTTTTTTACCTTTGAAAATGTAGTTAGACATACCTTTTTGCAAGTTAAAGAGAGAGAGAGACAGAGACAGAGACAGAGATAGAGAAAGGGGAAGGGGGAGGGGCAATCTACATGTAAAAGCTAGATTTAGAGGTTGGATATTTTGGCTGGTTTCTCACCTTCATAACTTGTGTCTGAATTGTGTGAATCCACAGGCATTTTTTAACTGAATAATTCTAGGAATGTTTCCCCTGGACGAACATGGATATACATGTACTATACTTGATTCATATAATTATGCGAAATTTCTAATTTAATTTACTTTCTTTTGTAGCCCTACATGTATCTATACGATTACTACGTGATAAAAATTAAAATTGGCTTCCTTTGTCCATATCATCCCAAAATAAGAATACAAGAATATGTACACAATTTCTTCACAACTTAATACATGCATATGTTACTGCTGTACATATACAATGTATATCACTTCAATTCAGTCTAGAGAATAGGCCATCGGATCTCAATCAGTTCCTTAAAATTCTAAATTCCTTATTATTTGATACCACTAATTTTGTAAACACACTGTGCATGTATCTGTCAACATAACGTTTTCTGAGACTTATTTTCAGTTTGAGTAGCATATTTTTAATGTCTCCTTTTTATATGAACCTTTTTTCATGTTACCTAATAATGTACAATATAGACCTTAATTTACCTGTTATGAATAAAATAAATGAGAATGACTAATTTTCTTACCGGTAGTCCAAAATATTAGATACAATCTCATTCTTAAAGTCCAGTTTGAACTGTTTGAGAAAGTGACCTCTAATTATATTAACCTTTTCCTCTAGACTAATCTGTCACCTGGTCAACTATAATCAGTTCATTCTTCCTTTGGCTTTTCTTGCGAATCTCCCGAGGACATCGAGAGGGAAGGGAATTTCCCCTTCGTCTTTCTTGGTCAGCTGATCAAATCAGAATACCTCGGCCGGGTACTGACAGGTGGCGTTGAAAAGATTTTTGATGGACAAGTTTTTCTTCTGTGCTTGTCTTGTGATTATGATGTATTTTCAAGCTTTAGTTCATAGGGATTAAAAAGAAAGTTTGGTTATATGCCAACATGAAGATAAGATATTATTAGAAGTACTCAAGTTGTTTTCTTTTTGTGTGTCTATTATTGTTGGATCCACACTACGTGCCCCTATGTAGCAAAATAACTTACATATTTAGATGTCAACCAGTTAACAAGATATTTTCAGACGTATAGCGACTTCTTTATTAGGAACATTAATTGCAGTTGATTAAATGCCCACAAATTTGAAAGTAGAAAAAAAATAGGGATTTATGACACCAAAGGTCCAAGCCTTTCAGGGGATGGAACATCATTCAAAGAAGTTTTCATTGGGGGAAAGTAAATGCTTAAACTCCTCATATTGGCCAGATCATCAGCAATTAAATCACATAGTTTGATTGTATCCCCAGTGGGGAATGAAGCTAGCCAAACTCCCCCCCCCCCTCTAACTCCGAAGAATTCAAACAACATGTAGAATACATGAGGGGGGGGGGGGGGGTCTATAACCTGGCTGCTAGCTGTCCCTCTTCCTGTGAAGAATACATGTCTATTTCCCCTACTTACATCTCTAGTGAATCACTCGGCCCTGCATGTCTGTGATCTTGTGATTCTCAGACATCGTCAGCTGGCTGGCTGGCCGGCCGGCCGGTCGTCACCTAGCTAGGCTTTTGATGACTTGTCCATCTGAGTCAGTCAGTCTGGCAAATTTCAGTAGAACGCTGTCCCAGGGTCCTAGTCTTCTTTCTTTGTTTTTGGCCATTAGATACCTAGCTGACACGTGGACAGTGTGAGGCTTGTTGCTTCTTAGCTTCTCTTGTGGACACTTACAATATTCTTTTGCATTTTATGTAAACGCTGTCACAGAGTTGTCTCCTGCCTTTGTTATTGGCCATTAGATACCTGACACGTGGACAGTCTCTGAGGCTTGTGACTCTTGTTAATTGTTAATAAGCTTTTCTCATGGACGCTAATTACTAAATGTTTGGAGTCAATGGGACAACATTAAGTGGATGAATACTGTCACGAAGGAGTCATCTCTCTTTGTTATTGGCTGCATGTTAGATACCTGACACCTGGACAGTCTGAGGCTCGTTGCTCTTGTTAATTCCAAGCGTTTCTCATGGACGCTTACTAAATGTTTGGAGTCAGCAGGACAACATTTGCATTTGAGTGGATGAATGCTGTCACGGAGTAGTCTTCTTTTGATGTTATTAGCTAGTGGATTCTCGACATGTGGGCATTTTTTGGTTTGTGGCTTGTGTTTCTTCTAAGCTTCTCTCATGGATACTTAGTAATTTTTCTTGGATTCAGTTGGACAAAACTTTCATATGGGGAGATGAATGATGTCATGGGGTTTCCTTGTTATTGACCCTTAGATACATTCCAGGCTTGTGGCTATTGCTAACTCTAATGTCCAGCTTCTCTTGCAGATAAGTAGGAATGCCTTTGAGTCATTGTGGCAAATTTTGTGCATTTTAGTGGATGAACGCTGTCTTGGAGCACTAGTCGTCTTCTTCCTTCTTTATACTGGATGTTGGAGTGGAATATTGGCATGTGGAAAGTCTTGAGGTGATGAGCTCTCGAGTAGATCATTGGAATTTACTGGTTCTGAATCTCTTCCCAGGATACTCAAAGACTGTTTTGGAATTACTTACTGTCATGTTGGTAATTAATCATTATTAGTCATGTTGTACAAATTTCCCTTGCCAGTGAATTCATTTTTTGATTTGGTACAAGAAAATTTTAAAAAATGTGTCTAATCTTCTGTCTAATTCTAAAAGCCTATGTCTTTTAGGGAAAACTATGCCCCCTTAGGTTTCTCACAATACTGCCCCATAGTTTGTGCATTTCTAAAACTTGTACAAATCTTAATTGATACTTCATTTTCTTTAATGATGTACTTCTGCTTGGCTCAATAACCATTTGGATAGTAGCACAAAGGACACAATCCCAGGCCTTCTTGAATTTCAACTAAATTCGAAAGCAAATCATAGATTATAATTTGTCAAGTGTGTACATGCACATGAACATGTATATCACAAAATCATGTTATTTAATATTAGATAAGATATTTATTCGTCTTTCTTTCAAATGACACAAAGAGCATAACATCAGATCATTACACATTTACAATGCAAAAATCAAATTATGGCAATGATAACAAAAAAAATTGAACTAAAAGAAAGACGAGGGGACCCTGGTAAAAGCAGAGCTTTAAAGTTTTAGGGTCCCCTCTAGACCAAATAATTGGTTACTAAATAAATAAGCAACAAGATAAACATGATGGGAGTACATATCTGATATTATGATATATTATTCTATTTTTTTATCTTTAGTGATGAGGCTCTTGGTCCATTAGAGAAGGCATACAGAGAGAATAGAAAACTGATGGCAACATACAGGAGCAGACTGAACAAGATGCATACTACAAGCAAGAACAAAAGCCTTGTGGTAAGAACTCACTTCTCTCAGTAAAATTTACCGCTCTATTTTTATGCTTGTCTCCTACCTTGTCGTTGTTTCTTTATCATTTGAATTTCCCCTCTTATATCTCACTCATTTTAAGGTTTACTTTCCAATTCATTTGTTTTCCCCTACATTTGTCTTTTTACAGTATGACAAAATTAGTCTTTTATCAGTTGTTAATTTATTTCTTCACTTCACTTCTTAAATGTTCCCTTATCTAAAGAATAACTGCATGTTGCTATATTTTTCTTATTTCTGTACCCTCTCTTTATCTTTATCTGTGTCTCTTTATCTGTGTCTCTTCATTTTCTCTTTCTCTCTCTGTTAAAACCATTTCTCTGTTGACTACTCTTCTTGCCTCTTTTCTCCCTCTGTCCAGCCCCATCTCTCCCTCTCTCTCTCTCTCTCTCTCTCTCTCTCTCTTCTTCTTCCCCCCTCCCTCCCTACCAGTATGCTCCCTACGCCCTCTATCTTTTTCCTTCTCTTTCTCCCTGTCCACACTTCCACTCTCTCTCTCTCTCTCTCTCTCTCTTTTTTCTTTCGTTTCTCTTTCTTTTCTTTCTTCCTCCCTCCCTTCCCCCTCTCTCTCTTTCCCCTCTCTTTCTCCCCCTGTCCACACCTCCACTCCCTCTCTCTCCCTCTCTGTCTCTCTCCATCTCTGCCCCTGTCTCTGTCTGTCTGTCTGTCTCTCCCTCCCCCTCTCTCCCTCCCTCTCTCCCTCCCCCTCTCCCTCCCCCTCGCTCCCTCCCCCTCTCTCCCTCCCCCTCTCTCTCCCTCTCCCCCTCTCTCCCTTCCGCTCTCTCCCTCTCCCTCTCCCTCCCCCTCTCTCCCTCCCCCTCTCCCCCTCTCCCCCTCCCCCTTTCCCCCCTCTCTCCCTCCCCCTCTCTTCCTCCCCTCTCTCCTTCCCCCTCTCTCCCTTCCCCTCTCCCCCTCTCTCCTTCCCCCTCTCTTTCCTTTCCCCTCTCTTTCCTTTCCCCTCTCTCCCTCCCCCTCTCTCCCTCCCCTCTCTCCCTCCCCCTCTCTCCCTCCCCCTCTCTCCCTTCCCATCTCTCTCTCCCTTCCCATCTCTCTCTCCCTCCCCCTCTCTCCCTCCCCTCTCTCTCTCCCCCTCTCTCCCTCCCCATCTCTCTCTCCCTCTCTCCCTCCCTCTCTCCCTCCCCTCTCTCTCTCCCCCTCTCTCCCTCCCCATCTCTCTCTCCCTCTCTCTCTCTCCCCCTCTCTCCTTTCCCCTCTCTCCCTCCCCCTCTCTCCCTCCCCTCTCTCTCCCTCCCCTCTCTCCCTCTCCCTCTCTCCCTCTCCCTCCCCCTCCCCATCTCTCTCTCCCTCTCCCCATTGATGAGCAGTTTGTTTAATCCCCTATGACTCTTCCTTCCTCATTCTTTGTGGTTTTGACACCTTCTGTTCCTTATGAAGGTGTGGCTTAATGATCTACTTCTGTAATGACAGGAAGCAAGCATGTAGAATGTTGTACTCTCTCTGTAACCTCTTTTAAAACTATAGTGATATATATTTATGTGCTGAGTATGTACACACATTTACATGTAGACTGCTTGAGAAAGGTCAAAGAAAGATAAGCTTTACTATTTCATTCATTCATTGTTTGAATGTCCATACATGTATGGAGAGTCATCTTGTTTACATGCATTAAGAGGACAAACAGGTGGATAACAATGAATAAGACATTAATATTATTATTATCTTTGTTGTTGTTGTTGTTGTTATTACAACTTGGATTATGGAGCAACAGAAGGCACAAATCTGTCTGTATTGCCTACTTTCACCTCATTTTTCCTTTGTGGTTGTTGCAATTTCATGATAATATTTGCTAATATTCTGCATTGTTGAAAGACATACAGCATAAGAAAAAAAAAACAGATTTTCACCCTTGACCAACTGATCTTTATAACAAAACTCAATCTGTATTATTCCATGTTTCAGTAATCTCATCTCTGCCAGCCTCTTGAGAACTTAATTGCAAGGAATGATAACGCACTTTTATTATCCTTAAAGAAGCCCTTTACACTGCATGCCAGTAAAAAAAAGATTGCAGGTCAATTGAGGCATAGTTAAAAGTTTATAGAGAATGTACCAGCATATTATTAAACATGTGCCTGTACAATTTCCCCTATTAAAGGTACAATGTCCCTTTTGCAGCCAACCTCAAATGCTGTAGAACTTTGCAGGAATTATGAATATGTCATGTATGTCCTATCTGTGAAATTTAAACGTTAGCAGTGTCCTCATATTCAAATTATGCAAGGAAACCGGTTTACTTGCTAGACTTCACTGTCAGACACTATTGAGTGACTGACTGGCTTTTTTTTTCTTCTTTGGTAATAACAAATATGAAAAGAGTTGTAAAGAGTACATGAGCATTTGTCTACATCAATAACCCACTTCTTGTGATGGCCAAGATTAAACTGATTGAATCTTTGCGCAGCATAAAACGTATGACCATTTGGTACAATTGTCTGAAAATCAAGACTATTACTTTTGGGCTCTTTAGCCCTAAAGTCGATTTGACAACTAGTAGTCATTATTTTCCCACTTGAAGACATTTTCAAGCCCCATCTTTTTTAGGGAAGTTCTAAATTAGTATTATCTTTCAAATGCAGTTGGAATTTAACTTTTTCATTTTTTTGGCCTGCAAATGGGACATAGTACCTTTAAAAGTTTGATAGCACCAATGAGAAGCCCATTCCATCCATGTAGAATGGGAAGTGTTGTATTGTGTATCATTTCATGTACATGTAAGTATGCCAAGAGATCTGTAGTCTACTTTAAAAGCCTGTTGGTACTGGATATTATTAGCTTTAGCGGGACGAGACTGGATGAGCCTATAATGGACTTCTAAAAAGTTACCTATACTTGGAATTGTGTTGTTGTTGTTGTTGTTGTTTGTCTATTAAAATTTAATATGCTCCCAAGGACTGAATGCTAACAGAAAAGGTTATACATGTATGTAGTGACCAGTCACACAGTTGCTTGACCATTTAATTGATAAATCAAAGTGGTCAATCCTATATACAGTTGTACTTCTTTTATGGAGGTGGGTATGTCAGTAGTAACTCTGTTGTTTTGTCCATCCATTTTCCCCTTTTTTTCCTTCGGTGTCATCTCCATTAATTCATTAGAGATATATAGACAAGGAAATGTAGCATGAGCAAATCAATGTTTAACTTTTAATCCTTTAATCCTAATTCTCCTGTCATTTTTTTTTCTCTCCATGCAGAACCTGACATTCCAGCGAAGACTAATGGAGAATATGGCCATTGCTAAAGCCAGGGAAGCCAGTGTATCCTTTTGAATATTTAAAATCTCTCAAACTTTCACTGAGCTGTTCCTCTCATTTTTCTACTTCTATTAAAACCAAAACTGAAAGCACATCATTTCAATTAACTGTAAATCTAAGGATACCAGGAGCTCTTGTAGTGCAGTAGAATATATACTTGATTTTGGATAGTTTCTGTGCTCTATAAATGTATTATCATTATTATTATTTTTAACTTTATGTCAGGGAGGACTTTCCCTTTTTTTCCCTTGACTGAAGAAAGCCAGTGTAGACTGTGGGATGGCATAGATCTCTGACAGTGCTCTCAGTCAGCTATGTTTAACTAGTTGATTCATCTTTGTGGTTTGAATAATACGTTGAGATCGTCAACAGTGAGTTAATGGTTTCCATGGCAATTACAACACCATGTACCTTTCAATGATTAGAAGCTGCCGTGGTAAGATCAGATCCAGTTAATGGTTGCTATGGCAATTACAACACCATGCAAATGTTCTTTTCAATGATTAGAAGCTGCTGTGGTAGATCAGATCCAGTATATTCAGGCCTGGTAGTTTTGTACTATTTTGTTTGGTTTGATGTTTGAATGACAGGACCACACAGTTGATAAGTGGATGATTAAAACCTGTGAAAATTGCTCTATTAGGATGGCTGTATTGGTGCCATCAGTGTCTTGTGCAAACCAGCTGTTAAGGAGACAGTAGTGCATTTTCGAAGTAGACATTGCACCACTGTTTCCATCACGCAGTATCTAAATGTAACGCTTTCAGAAAAAGTGAGCGACTAATGAGCTTTATTGTTATGCAATTTTACCTCCATGAAGATTTTAATCTTTCGAGAGTCCTTGGGACCGTGTAAATTACCGTTTTATATCAGGGTAAAAAAAATATATATAAAGAGCTGGGACCAGCAAAATCACCTTGTCCTAACAGATACCTCGCTATTGCAGAGCTCTTTATAATGAGTTTCCACTGTGCCTGTACATGCATTCTTAATGAATTTATTGGTAGGTCTCCTTTTTTGATATGCAGTTTGGATTTAGGGTATTAAAGTGTGGTTACATATATGAAATGTACATGTAGCTGTGTGCTTGGATAAGCTATACATTATTTTTAGAACTTGATCAAGTTTATATATTAGGAGGTGCGATGGCTCAGTGGTAGAGCAGTGGTCTTGTAACTAGGAGGTCCCAATTTTTAAAACCAAGTCGATGCACCAGTGCCCTTTGGTAATAAGGCATTAATCCTCATTACCAGGTCTCTCAGAGAGGACTTAAAGCCGTTGGTCCCCTGGTTGCTTCCATTCAAGAATAGACATGCTTTCTGAGCACTGAGATGGGTAAAACAAAAAAAACTAACAAAAATACAAGAATTGTCTCCTTAACTGACCCACCTCAACTCCCAGCTTGCTAAGAAGATCAAGGAACGTCAGCAACGTCTTAAGGAGCAGGCAGCCCAGAGATTCTCATCCAGTGGCCAACCTACCAAGGAAGAAATGGAACTCAGAACAGTCTATGCTAACATAATGGAGTACGAGAATGTCAAGGTATGGGACTGAACCCACTCATAGAGGATCAAGTCGGCTGATGGGATTGCTATTTAGCGTATTTGAGATTGCACCATTTTGTGTTCTTATTGAGAAATCTAATAGTATAACTCTGAAAAGATATTGATGATTTTGATAAGAAGGATTATGACACATCAATGATAAACTTATATTGGTAAACAACATAACAGATATTTATCAAAATGGTGTACATGTGCACTTTATGTTTTAATGTGCTCTTCAATTGTTGTCATCGGTTCACCAACCATTCCATCCAATTTCCAAGCTATCCTGTAAAACTATGATTTAAAGCCCTTGCTACAGGAGATGTGCTTATAGCAGGAAAAATAGAACTTTTTTTTTTCCCTTCATTCTGTTTTTGGATATCCTTAACTGGCCTTGTTGTCTAGCTAGTACACAAGATAATATTTCCTTGATGATCACAAATTTGTGATTTTTTTTCTCCTTCAATTCCCTTTTTCTTCAAAGACATGGCTCCAGGATAGGCGCCAACGGCTGCAGGAATCACCCGGTGACCTCAGACTGATCCACGACCTCATCACCGAGATCTTATCGTGTGACCAGCACCCTCTAAGCCAGCTTCTCAAGCGTTACCAGATCACGATCTATCAGAAGATCATGCCTCTCATACAGCGGAAGCTACCCTCCATTGAGGAGATTGTGGTTCCCTACAAGGACGTGGAACCGCTCAAACTCCAAGGTAATGTATCCTTGTGACAGTGATCAAACATTTGCTGTATCAACATTTGCTTGAGGCGTTACTTCGTCAAAGCAAATGGGGTAGACTTAGTGCTAGAATTCATTTTTTTGTTAATACGAGGTTTCTCTATTGAGGAGATAGTGGTTCCCTACAAGGATGTGGAACCGCTCAAACTCCAAGGTAATGTATCCTTGTGACAGTGATCCAACATTTTGTCGCCTGGCTGGCAGAAGGGCGTTAGCTCGAATTTCAGGTTAAAAATGAAGTGTTAAGCAGAAGGGCGTTAGCACTAAATCGCCTCAAACTTTTATAAAACTGACTTATTTCCGAAAACAAATTGTGGCAGTGTTCTACTATAACATTTCTATTAGTCTTTTAAGTTTTGAACCAATTTTTGGGACGGATAGCAGTTTAAATATAAAACAAATCTTTAAATGCAAATAATTTGAAAATTAGTTTTCGAGTTGCTAACGCCCTTCTATATGCCAGCCAGCCGACGATTTGCTCTATCAACATTTACTTGGTGCGTTACTTCGCCAAAGCAAATGGGGTAGACTTAGTTACAGAATTCACTTTTTTGTTAATACGAGGTTTGGGATTAGGGTTCGAATTAATTACAGTTTTGGGTTGTGGACTGTGATAAGGATGAAGGAAAGTTAGCTGCGTAGCAACTGCTGCCTGAGCATTAGTCTCTTCTTCTTCTTCTTCTTCTTCCATTTGAGTACATCCCTCTTTACAGAGTATTGTTGTACTATACTGGGGTGTGCAGGTGGACCACTACACCGGGGTTTCCCCCTACTCTTATACGATTAGTGCAGTGGGTTCTTAGGTAGTGACGCTCCTCTACATGGGCCTCCATAAATGGTAGCCAGACCACAAGGACATTTAAGGATATCCACAGACAGAATGAAGGAAGAAAGGAAGTCTATTCCCAAGTCAGACTGAAGACACGTTACCAGGCCAAGGACAAACCAAACAAAAACCTAGTGTACACTAAACTGAATGGCCATGAATCGGGCCGTTCAGAGTTGGTTATAGTCCGGCAGCCAAATCCAGATTATTGGCCTAACCTTGTTTTAGGGTCTATAGTTTTTTTTTCAATGGATTTTGATTGCCTAGACCTTCTATTTCAAGAATCCGATTGCTGACACTCTGTCAGCCTTGAGCAATTTAAGATATATGACGTCATACAAAATGGCCGCCAAAGTACATGATTTTCCTTTAAAAATGAATAATAAATATATAATAAGGATTTTTTCTATAATTTTTGGCAGCCAAATGTCTGTATCTCTCTAGGACCATCACTAAAAAAATGTTTCGTGATGTTGCATGGCCATAGATGACCAGCTTATTTGCATATTTTGAAATAGCGCCCTCTATAAACATATCAATTTGAATAAAATATTTGTGCCAGCCAAATGCCGATTTCTTAAATCTATGTCACGTTGAAATCATATTAAATGCTTTTTTTGGGCAACAATTGCAGTTGTGCTGCATTAATCTTTCATCGTGTTTGGTACAAATTTAGATAGGGTAGGTGTGGGGAATGGAAGACCCTTAAGCACATTTGCATAATTTACATAAACATGAACAATGTTACACATACAGATATTTTTGTATTCTCTTTAGTATTTTTTCTCTTTATTTGGTAACGAAATTGTGGTCATGATGTAACTGATTAATAAGATAACAATGATTAATGACGTCATCCCCAAGGGTCTCTCATTACCTACATGTGTAGGTAATAAGGGACAGTTACAAATCAAGACATTTTAAATACAATTTGAATGAAAATGGGATTGTTATAGTTAGTTCAAACACTTTTTGAAAGAGATACATGCAGCCAATGAACTTACTGTAATTTTGAAACGATTTTAAAACAATGTGGCCCAAAATATTTCTGTAGTTTTTTGTTTACAGTAATAAAGGTGCTCTCAATTATGTTAAAATACTTTCAGAATAATGTTCTGGCAATATGACTTTTACATTGATCAAACTCACAGCATAGAAACAACTTCTTAAAATTAAATGCATTCAAATTAAGAATGGTGACACGTACAACCAAATATGTTTCATGATAGTGCCTTTCAACATGAAATGGACAACTGGGGAGAAGTAGGCCCCATCTTGGATCTGGTGTCCCCCATTACCTACACACATTTCTGATCAGACACCATTCATAATGTGAATTGCAACACCCATTCACAACACACAATGGCCATAAGCTTTCTGTGATGGTTGGCACATTTCATAAACTTCCTTTTAAAACTAATTTTTAAGAGCCACCCCTAAATATCTGCATACACCGCAACATTCAGTGAAAATTTTGTTTTATATCAGAGCAAAATTTTACGATCAAAATTACTTATCTTGGTCAATTTTGCCAATTTTCTCGGAGAGAGAACGCATTGTAGTCTTCGAAATGAATTTGATATATGCAGTAGTGGTGTTGAAAGCCACATATGTCGCTATATCAATATTGGAGCCAACGGACAGACAGTGATGGGTTCAAGCTTGGTGGTCTCCAATTCCCTACACCTACCCTACATATGTCAAGAAAAAAATGGCTATGAAAGAATTAATTTTTCATAAATCGGTGAGAAGAGGTTTTACGGCACAAATTATTATTCAATTGATAGGCTTTATTTAGACCAGCATTGCTCCAACGTCAGTGAATGTGGATAAAGCAGTTGACATCTATACTAGACAGATGCATGATTTTCAAAAGAAATTACCTGGTGGATTCTATGACACAATTTCCAAGAAAGTTCAAACCGTGGCAGCCATGAAGAAGTCAATGTTGGGGTACGAAAGTCTATGAAAATTTGATCTACTCCAGAGTAATAGGACTGCAGACAAGTTCAAGAGAGGTCAATGTCAAGGACATTTTGTCATAAGAGCTTTCACGAGTCCGAACAGCACTTTTTGATGATTCTGGAAACGAGCACTCCCATGTCAAAGACGGACTTATAGAATTTGACAAAAGTTGAGATGTCAGCCAGGCATGAGACACTGGAACAACCTCGTACAGTCATTGATGGTTGTGCTCTGCTGTGGATGAAAATCTGATGATGTTTGCTTGGTGTTTGACATATCCGAGAGTATCTAGAGGTCATAACGGGTCGAGAGTCTTCCAACTGAGTCCCGCGTCACTGCTGCCCTCCTCTTACTGTCCGTCGTCGTCGTCGTTTTCATATAGATCATGGCTTACCCTTGTGACCCGTTTGGTGAGACCTTTTGATCGGCATCTGTCTCCTGCAATCTGGTAGAGTGTCTTTAGTATTTAGAGGGTGGCTAGTGATTTCCCTAAGGTCGTCAGTCCATCTAAGCTTGGGTCTTCTTTTGTTACGTGTTGATCTCCGATGATGGACATTAATTGTGTCCATTGGTCTTGTAATCTCTTCATGATATCCCAAGTAGCTTCCTCCAACTCCACATTTCAAAGGCAGATATTGCCGAGCTTCCACCCTCCTTGACGATCATTGACCCAATAATATTATACAAACTTGTCCACTTGATCAACTTCTTCTCCATCAACCACCATGCTCTGGTGCATGTAGTTAATTTCCACCAATCATGATCTTGGTCTTTTTCACATTGAGGTAGGGTCCAAATTATTCACTTGCATCCTTCACTTTTAAGGAGTTTTAGTAGTTCTTCTGATGTTCTTGTTATAAGTGTTGTCAGTGGCATACTGAGCAAAAACACTTAGAGGGGCAGAAAAACAATCTGCATCACCACCACTCATACATGTTACATGCAGGCCCCGCGGAACTTTTTTTAAAGCGGGGTGGGGGGGGGGGGTGAAGTATTTACGATCAGGAAGAGAGGAGCGCAAATTGGCGTGGTGTTCAAGGGGCACAGCTCCCGGAAGCTCAAGGGTTTCAGGCATTTATTAACTATAATATGAACATATTTTGATACCTCATTTCACCTCGGGTCACTTTTTTTCTTTCTTTCTAGTTCTCTTTAACATACTTTATACAAAAAGTGAGGGGGGCTCGAGTCCCCTGAGCCCCGCTGTTCTGCGGACCCTGACATGAAGGCTTTTGAATAAGCATACTTTTTGCTTGATTGTGATTATAGGATTTGTCATTTTCCAACATACGCTTAACAAATTATAATTTACTAAAAAGTGAGAAAAAAACCCAGGAAAATCATGTCATTTCAGCAACATTTGTAAATCACTGGTATCGAATATATAGAAAAAACAGTTTGAATCTTGTTTGGGGGTTCAACTGTCCCCAACCCCCCCCCCCCCCCAACCTTCCCTATCAATACGCCAGAGAGTGTTGTATTGTCGGCGTATCTTAGGTTGGTGATCGTTCGTCCACCAACAGAAACTTGACCATAAAATGCCTTTCTCATGATGAATTCAGCATAGATGTTGAAAAGTTATGGTGATAGGATGCAGCCTTGACGGACAACCTGACCAATAGTGAACCTTTCGGTGTAGCCATACTCTGTTCTTACTGTTGCTTCTTGGTATTGGTAGAGCGACTGGATGAGTTGAATTATATGTGCTGGAAAGCCCATCTAGCTCATAATCTTCCATAGGCGTTTATGTTGTACCCAGTCAAAAGCTTTGGAAAGATCAATAAAGCTAGGGAGAGAAGTTGTTGAAACGTGTCTCTAGTGTTGCTAACTTCACTATCTTTTCATGACAACAAACTACAGTTGATCGACATCATAATTATATGCGCGAGTCTACAGGATGATTGGGTGCTCAGAAATAGGCAAAAGCACAAGCAGGCCTTTACCGTCAAGATGAGGTTTCTGTTGAAGTGATTCTACGCAGTGATGTCATGCCAAGGAAAGGTCTGTCCACAACATAGTTATGATGAAGCAGGCAACATCAAAGAACAGCACGCGATTTGAATTGATGCTAATGAGAAGATGTATGTTAGGGTCCTAGTGGATGACACAGACGTCTACGTACTACTTCTGCATCATTATCTACATGACGGACTTATAAAACGCCAATGACCATGGAAACGCCCCTTCACAAATCGAACTGTTATTGATGTTCCTGCCAATGTAGACAAGTAAGGAGATATCATTCCATCGATGTTGGCAGGACATGCGTTGATGGGATGCGACACTCTCGGGGCATACTTTGGCATTGGATAGGGTACAATGCTGAAAGTGATGAAGCAGAAGTTTCGACTCCCTTAGGACTCAGTTGGCAATGTTGATGCAGCATGGTCATATGTCATCACTCAACCTACTCAATGCTTTGCTTCATGTTATGGAAGTCAACAACCAACTGAATGTCAGAGGCTCGTATCAACGTGTGGCTATCAAGGGTCCGAAGACTAGGAGCTCCAAATACCCCCAAACCTTGCCTCACTACCTCAAACTACTGAAGCGTTTGTAGAAAATGTTAAGAGAGCTCATTTGCAAACATGCGTGTGGAAGCACGCATTACAGTCATGACCTCACTTTGCAGAATTAAGTGTTAAATGACATCCTCTTCCGCATGGAATATTTTAGGGTTCCCAACACTTTAGAGGGCTTTTAATCAAATTTCAAGATTTTGAAGCAAACTTATAAAGGGATAAAGTCCTGTATCGTATTGGTAGTTCGTAATTTTTAGGTTAATTTAAAAGAATCTAGTACCTTAGAATACAATTCTAGTTTCTTAACGCTGTCACTGAAAATGGCAATTTTTCACCATATGCCACCTCATATCTATGGGGCAGAGAGCATTCAATTCAATCGTGTTTTCTTCAAGTATCAAATTACAAAATAAAAATAAATGTGCAGCACGATTTTTACTCACTGTATCCAGTGCATCTGACTCATGACATATGATAATCTCATGTTAGAAATTGGTATTTGGCCATCATTTTGAACTATGCAAGTTAATTTGTCTATAGAGGGCGCCATTCCGAATTATGCAAATTTGCATATCATTTGTGATCATACAGCATCGCAATTTTTATTGAGTGATGATTCTAGAAAAAAATCAAGATATTTGACTGCCATTTAATGTATTAAAATGCTGTTAAAACTTTTTATATCATTAATTTTGGTTAAAAAGGGGATTTTGGCGGCCATTTTGTATGACGTCACATATCTCAAATTGCTCAATGCTGACAGAGTGTCAGCAATCGAATTCTTCAAATTGATGGTCTAAGGAACTATAATCCGAAGAAAAAAAAACTATAGACCCTAAAACAAGGTATACCGAGATGGCTGCCGGACTATTAGGTGATATGACTGATTCAAATCAAACATGATCATGTAGGAGTGGAAAAATGTCAGGGATTCAGTCTACCATAGATTTGTGGGAAAAATATACCCTGTTTTCTAAGTTTATTATTTTAAATACAATGAATCAATTTGAGAGCCTTGACCATTTGAATTATTTTGAAAATGCACAAGGCCATTCAAATTCTGTTAATCCATGTAGTTGTATTTGTATCATAAAGATTCTGGTTCATCCAGTACTGTAGAAGTAGATCTTCTTAGTACTCCATGTTTTATTTTTCCTTGTTTTAAAGAAAGTTCCTGTTGTTTTTCAGAACCCAGAGCAGTACCAGAGGGCGGTTTCACCACACCCGATGAACTGGATCAGAGTATGGAAGAAACATTAGCCCAACGTCTTCTTGCCCTTCGTCAAAACAGCACCTCCAGTGCAGAGAGTGAATCCACTGACCCGAGACCATCAGTCCAGACCAACAGCATGCTCTTTGCTCATAGTGATGTGAGTGATGATATCCTGGAGGAGCTGTTCTCCGAGGATGATGAGGATGCTCCGTCTCTGGAGGAGGAGCTTAGCACCCAGGGAGGGAGTGTCCACCCTCTACCTGTGGAGCACCATGATAGAACTATGGGCAAGGGAGAAGTTGTCGGTGATGATAGATGTGAAGATAATGGGCACCTTGATGACAGTGGCATCCAGAATGGAGAGGAGTCTTCCAGCTCAGATGAAGCTGCTCCTACAAAAGACATCCAGGATGATGATCTTGAGGGTACTACTGTTAGAGGGAAGAATGAGGAAGGTGCCACTTCAGAGGGAGACAGGATGAGAGAGATCAGGGATGAAATCAGGACTGATATCGCACAAGCCTTGGAGGATGGAGAAAAGCTTTTCAAGGAGTTGGAGGGAAGGACCATCGACAAACCAGAAGATGTGGAGGAAAGTATTAGTGATGCAGTTGTCATAGCAACCGATGACTCCATTAATGATAGAGATGGAGAAAGTGCAAATATTACAAGAACTAATTCTGATGCTGCCGATAAGCAACATTCTGACTCAGATTATGCAAAAGACAATCACTTAAATGGTCTTGCAGTCTCCGGTATGGATGAAAGAACTAAAAATAATTTGTCAGATGAGAAAAGTGAAAGTGTTAGAGATGACAGTGAACAAACCGGCCAAGAAGAAGAAGAAGAAGTCCCTTCAGATGTAAATGACAGCGCAAATGGAGATGTCGCAAGCAACAGTGAGTTAGCAGAAGGGGACAGCAGTGTGGGAGAGAGGGAAGGTGAAAGAGAGAAGGAAAAGGCAAAGGAAGAGGAGGATGGAGAGGAGAGGATAGCAGAAATGAGAGTTCAGGCACTGAGTAGACATCTCAAATGCATCACCAAAGATGTGCTCATGTTCACAGGTAAGAGGGTGTTACGGCACATGTTCTGGTGATGATCTCCTCAGTAAAGTCACTGCACTAATTGAATTCTTAACTGCAAACCTGGACCAAACACCATACCTGACCCATACCCTGACCCAAAACCTAACCTGAAACACAATCGCAACCCTAACACAAACCCTACATCTTAGACAAATTAAAGTTGTCAAGCAGTTGTCTTCAAAACAAATGTCAGATAAGGAAGATGGTAAAAAAAGATGGATGGATGCATACAATTTATTCAACAAAGTATAGTTCAGGGGGCATTTTTGCTACAATGTATTTTCCAAATCATTATGTGTAAATCCCGAAAGTCTCATAATATTAAACGATCACTTGTCATCTATTATTTATTGAGCTGTAAATAGTTTTGGAGGTTTTAACTATTACGCATATTGATTTCAGTGTTGAAACATGAAAGTAATGTGATTTTCTGATGATTTTACAAACGATCTTGTTATCAACTTTTCCATTGATTTTTGTGATATTCCGATATATCTAGCTTTTACCCAGTCATGTTTTTGTGTTGTGCATGCACCTATCAAGTGAACCAAACAGTCATAGATGATAATGATTATCTGTTATAGATATGCACATGTGCATGTAGCAATAATCATGTCTTGGAGATACATATATGCATGCCATTGTAGACATGCACTGCACTGCTAAGAAAGCATGTAAACAACCAGGGGACCGACGGCTTTAAGTCATCTCCAAGGGACTTGGTATTGAGGATTAATGCCTTACCAAAGGGCACTAGGTTTCTTGGTTTCGAACCAGGGACCTTCTGGTTATGAGACCACTGCTCTACCAGTAAGCCATCGCATCTCTGATTATTTTATTCATCTGTGTCCTTTTAACAGAGCGTCTTCAGTCTCTGCTGGTAGCGGTGTACGAGCAGCTCAACAGTACAGCAGCCAAGGAGCAATGCATCTCCATCATTGAAGCTTTCGTCTTCAAAGATATCTGGCAACCAATCCTCATGCTCTACAGGTATTACCTTTGTTGCTAAGAAAATTCAAATTTCTTTTTAAAGCCCCAATGCACTACTTGAAGCTACTTGCTTCCTCTATACAGAAAACAATACCTAAGTGGTGCTCGTTGGTCCCCCATGATCCTCTTTTTCTGATGTTAATTGAGAGCTGAGTTATTGAGATAGCCACCAGTGACCATACTGGGAGGTCTAATCCCTCCTGGCCAAACTAGTGCAACACAGGATTCAAGAAACATATTCACCATTTACTTTCCTAAAAGATACAGTATTTACAGGAGAAACAGGTTTGATTTTAGAAGAAAAAAAGAAGAAGATGAAATAAGTAAAGAAATGAAGAATAAAGAAAAGGAAAAATAAGAAGATGGACTTATCCCTGAACCAAAACCCGAAATGAAAACAAACAATACTAGTTTGATGGCATAGGTTGGTATGAGGCATTTTCCTGTTTCTTGAGCTACCCCCAAATTGATCTCGAGGCATCTAACATGCTCCCCGAAAAATGAAATACATTGATGGCAACTAAACATTATGGCTAGCAGGTTTGCAGAACTGAGTCTAGATTACTTACTTGTACATATGTGACCTACATGTGCATGTATAAAGTATGGGATAATATAATGTATAATAATAAAATATCTTAGTAATGGTCAAGTTACTTTTGAATACCCTTTCGAGAAGTGTCACACATCGGTCCTGTTTTTCTTAACCATGTTGTTTTCCTTTGTATCTCCTGTAGACGATTCAACTACAAAAAAGAGGAATGTGCAGCCATCGCCATGACAAAGTACCAGCATGCCATGCCCCAGCACATCGGAGTAGGAGAGAAGTTCTGTCTGCTGAGAGAGGGCGCTGTTCAAGATGGCAGCCAAGCGTCAAGTAGCGACTACTACCCTTACCAGGCAGCTGTAGAGGAGCTTTGTAAGCTGCAGGGGTACACATGTCCTCTGCAGAAAATAGAATGTATTGGTAAGATGGAATGTTTGATTACATGTTAGTTAAACTGCAAGATATTGTTGCTGACTCAATATACTTTAATGAAAAACATTACAAATGTGTTTGCTTGTCTCCTGTGGAGTAGGATTCCAAACAACTCCTTGGGGGGGGGGGGGGGGGGGGTGTTTTACAAAGATCCTAAGTCGAACTTAATTCTAAGTTGGACTTAAAAATTATGGAGAGCCATTTGTAGCCTTAAACAAATATATATTCAAGAACAAGAAATCTCCTTGATAATAGAAAATATGAATAATCTGAATCAACATTTTATGCCTTTTAAAATAAGTTGTACAAAATATTTTCATATATGCTAACGGCTTTCCATAATTGTTAAGTCCAACTTAGAGATAAGTTTAACTTAGGATCTTTGGGAAACACCCCCCTGATATTAGGAGTCAAATAGTATTTATCATTGCAAAATGTTGTTAGTCACATTAATTCTTTTGCCTAATTTAATTGCTCAGTCATTTCTTGTTTTCATTGTGACATCAATATATTTCCAATTTTAGGATCTTAGTTATGGTACCGTCAACCCTGCTTTTAATAGTGACCACCTGTATAGAAAGACCACTTTGTTCATTCCCTTGCATATGGTTTCTCATTGAAATATCTGTACTTAAGGAACCTGTACATAAAGACCACTTTCCATTTTTCCCTTGAGCGGTCTTTCTAAACAGGTTTCACTGTATACACTATGAATATTACGAACAAAGAAAGTGGACAAAATATACAGTTCCTCATTCTACCCTCAACAATTGCTATGGTAGACAAAGGAACATTCCTTCACTGCTATTATGTAAAAATGTGTAGAACAGGTGAATATGTATGTGACACCTGTTCTACAGATTTCTACATAATAGCAGTGAAGGGATGTTCCTTTGTCTACCATAGCAATTGTTGAGGGTAGAATGAGGAACTGTATATTTTGTCTGCTTTCTTTGTCGGTCATGTTCATAGTGATAGCTCTTGTTTCTTAGTATACTAGACCTTTAGCTTCCATTTTGTACCATCTTTTATTTTATCTTGCAGTGCGTGTGTCGAGGATTGTGATTGAATGTGTTGGAGACTACTATGAGAGCCAAGGCATTTCTAGACAGAGCTTAGAAACAACTGTGTAAGTTAGATAACATTTTCTTGTAACTAGGTATAGCTTTCATATGTTTTTTCCTAGACAGGTATTCTAGTATGCTTGCTTTAAGAACCTTGGTTAATTCATGGCCTACTGAATTCCTTTCGTTCTCCTAGGTTGCGTACCTTAAAGGGATCCGGTAACTTTGTCTCAGATTCTGAAACAAAATCCTGGATTTAGCTCATGCTGCAATGATAATTATAAGCCTTTAGGTCAGTCAGGAACCCCATGACTTTCACAAGCCGATGGCATGTCTGATTATCAAGATAGTTATGATTAGAAAGCGAAACCAAATTTTGCGTTTTAGTTTCCTAACTGTTTTCATAACACTACGGTCTATTGGGGAAAACGAGTATGGTAAAACCGGTCACTCAAAGATTTTTACTTTTTTGAGGCACTTCTTGATCATTTTGAAGCGCAATTTTTTTAGGGCTTCAATATTACACCATATCACAGACACCGATAACACGTACATGTAGGGCCATGCATCTCAGATTTAACATTGTTAAACGATGCCTTTAACTACTCATTTATTGTTGGCAACGGATTAACCTTTCTCAATCATTTATCTCTCCTCCCTGTAGTGGTTGTGATGATCTGCTACCAATCTTGAGTTATGTCATCATGAGATCCTCTCTGCCTCAGATTGTGTCAGAATGTAGTGCTATGGAAGAGTTCATCCATGAAGGGTAAGCCATCATACTATTGAAAACAACAGAAATCATGTTGACCGAGATGTATTAGTCCTTAAAAGAACTGTTGTATAATTTTGTTATGGTTTTAGTTCTGACAAGAACCTGTAGATCTTTTGAAGAAAGATGTAAAAAGATGTTCAAGACAGTACATGTCAGAACTATAACTACAAAACAATAGTATACAACATTTTTTTTTTTAAAGAATAACATCTCTCTCAAAGAAAGAATACCCCAGTCCTTATAAAGACTACACACATGGTGTACCCATTTGAGTTATATCTACCTCACTATGCAAAGCTATAAAGAACATTTGAAATCTTGTTTCTGTGTCTGTTATTGCTGAGATATTGAAAGTGCCAGTTTGTCCCTTCCAGTACTGGTACCAGAATAAACTCTTAGAGATCTACAGCTTTAAAATTCTATTCATGGGTCTTGATTATCAAATATGAACAACTTGTCTAAGAGCTGTAGTAAACTGTCTAGTGTTTCCAAGACTATTGAACTACCCACTTCAAGATTATCTTTATAACAGAAACTGACAAACAATTACCCCCCCCCCCTTTTTTTTTCTTCTTCTATATTGACTGAAACACAACTGTTCTCACCAAAGAAAAAAATATATATTCAGATATTTTGTGTAGCCTGGCTTGTAGGATTTATTATGTAGAATAATTAAAATGAAATAAATTCCAAAATAAAAACAAAGATTTAATTCTATTTATATTTCCATCTTTTGTGTTTTTGTTCATCACAGGTATTTATTTGGTGAAGAGGGCTACTGCTTAACGACCTGCCAGACAGCGCTGAGTTACGTCCTCAAACTAGGCAGCACAGAGGAGCTGTCAAAGTCATAGTACAGTGAAACCTGTATGTAAAGACCACTCAAGGGCAACGTGAAAATGGTCTTTGTAGGCAGGCAGTCTTTATGTATGGTGTTTATGTACATGTTCCTTTTTAATAGTACAGGTTTCAATGAGAAACCACATCCAAGGGAATCAAAAAAAATTGATGCCATTATAGACAGGTGGTCTTTCTATACAGGTGGCTGCTTCAACAGGTTTGACTGTACCTTAACGGATACATTATGTCAGGGTAATCATTATGATGTTACCTTTTCCATCATCTTGCCATCTGATCCATCTGATGAGATGTCAGCTGTGGTTTGAATACTTGTCGGGCGATGTGAATGAAGGTTGTTGGTGTTATATATATATATATCCCTGGGCCCTGTCTAACAAAGAGTTGCGACTGATCCAAATCAATCGCAAGTCATCTAATCAATCGCAAGTTCGCAATCTCTTTCATATGTACATAGTTGTGATTGAAATCAATCGCAAATAAGTTGCGATTAATATCAACTCATTGTAAGACGGGGCTCCGGCATGACTCTAAATGTAATGCCCTTTAACAAGCTTTGAATGTACATCTGCCGCTCAATCTGGATGAAGTACTAGCCCTTTTGAAACTGTCATTCCACATAAGGGCAGTAACTGTTGATTAAAAATCCTAAAAATGTACCACATGCATGCAAGGGGCAAAATTTTCTTCACAGACTGTCCTTTTTTTATGCATGACCATATCGCGTTTGATGCGAGGAATTTCAAATTGGAAATAAGCTTTTAAATCCTCAAATTGGCAACTCGTTGAGAGGTTAATTTTTCTATCAAAATTAATAATTTTTTCCCCATTGTTACCCATGTACATTGTTTTTAGAGACGATGTATTTCATTAGAACAATATAGCAGTGAAAGAAAAACTGTTGCCAATTTGAAGAACAAAAATTGATCACAATGGATGCGTGGTAGGATTAGCTTCATGACATGCGTGAATAGCCAAAAGACAGATTTTCAAAGCACAGAGAATTACTTCTCAGAAGTTAACAAAAGGTCTAAAAAATTCATTTGAGATGAATGATGAAAAGAAAGCTTGTACAATTTCTGCCTTTTCCTGGTCTGAAGATGTTTCACTACCATCTGGTTTAGTTGTTTTTGATCTGTCGTATGACTCGAATCCTTTCCATTTCGTTTGACACCCGCGGCAACGGAATACTCAAAGTCACTTGCCGCCTTTTGACAGTATCACCTTGCTTAATTTGCTTGGTTACTTGCTCTTCCTTGTATATTGTTGGCAGAGATTTTACTTTAATTGTTATTTTTTTTGATCGCCTGTCCGTTTAATTCCTACCTCCGCCATCTTCCTGGCCATCTCCTCATAAACTTATACTTAGTCTTATTCTGCCTACACTCAAGCTCTTCATGAAGAAACTTGTGCTTCTTCCACGAATTAATGAGGAATTTAACCTCTGTATGGGCCAATGCCCACCTTTCTTTAATATTTCCTTATCTATGGTCAGATGGTTGCAATCGTACGAGTTAAAAATCACATCAATCAGGCCTTTCAAATCTCTATCATATTTGTACAGATATTTGAAAATCGTAAACTTTGCGGGTGGCAACCTTCTGCAGGGCACACGATGATATGTTCTCGAAATTATATGTATAATTTAGTTTTGCCTGCATGGATAATATAACTTTTTTTAATTCAGGTATTATTTCACAATAATGCTTGTACATCATATTCTTTTACATTTCTTTTAATATTAATTTTCAAATGTTTAGAGTGGAAGATACATATCTTTATTTTTAATGGTTTACATGTTCATTTTAACTTTTGCTTTGACTATCCATTGTTGTTTGTTTACCTTGTTATTATTATACTGATTATGATTTAAGAAAAACAAAATTAAGATTGCTGATTAATATGGTCTCTGGGGTATAAAACTATAAATTGATTTTCTCCACTCACTCACCTTTTATTCCATTAGACAACTTTTTTTTTAAAGATGTGTAATAAATAAATAAATGAATAAGTAAATAAACAACCTTCATAATTCTTTATAATAGTTGCAGTCTTTCTCCTCAGTGACTAAAATTAGAGAATCACACAAATGTAATCTGTTATTTACAAATACTTTATATTTATTTTTGTATAGTTAGGTGTATTTAGATTTAGATGAAACAGGATAAAGATGTTATATCATTTTAAATTCATTTCCCATGATTCTAATGCTGCTATTTGTGTTTATGATTGTTTCGTTGTCATCCATCAATTCTTCCATATTAATCTGAAATGTTACAATAATTTGTATTATGCGTTTTGTATTCAACACTTATTCATCTGCCTTGGCTTATACCATCTAATATTTACTCAATGAAACTTAGAAGGGCCAAGTTATATGAATTTCATGATTTTTTTCCAAAGAAATGATTGAGACCACTGAGTCATTACTGTAACCAGTGAGATGGGAATAAAATCATAAATGATTAATAATCTCAAATCCAGACACAAAAAACGAATAAGCCCCCCCCCCCCCCCCCCAAAAAAAAAAAAAAAACCTTAAAGATGATACTCAACTTTGAACATTGATCAAAGTATTTAATCTACATTTGTAAAATGAATAAAGAAAACACTCTGTAATGACATTAACTTACTTAAGAACATGTCCTTTGAAAAAGAAAAAAAGAAAAGAGATCCGCTTGTCGGCCATTGAAAGTTCAACCATTGAGAAAAGAACCCTATAAATGCAAACTTTAAATACATACGTCACATTATATGGTGTACTTTCATCCGTCCCATCTTTTTGTTCTAAATAATTTTTAGGGAGAGTATGAAAGATATTTTGAACTTCAAAACTTTTAGCCAGTCTGGCAGAATTTGTAAAGGTTAGTATATTTTCTATACGAATGCCTATAAACTCTGCACTTCTAAGTTTTAACAGTTTCATGCTTAACCTTGTAATATTCATTTCTTGGGATTACCTCTCGGGTGGCATGGTATGCAATATTCTTTAGACTAAATCATCTTTTGGAAAACTCGGTATTACTTGGTATATTTCAAAATGTTATCTTTCATTTCATTCATTACTCTGTTTCCTGTGTAATTCATCAACGTTACCATTCACCGATGAAAGAAGGGAAATATCTCAAATATAGTTCACAGTCGATGCAAGATAATATCACGATATTCAACTTTAATTACTGCTTGAGATGAATTTTGTATTAATTTCATTTTTCTAATATGGCTTTATTTGTAGACGATATCTCTAATGCTGTTATAAATGCTTGTATCAATCTATTTCTTTACTCACTGGTTTTAATTGTATGGTAAACGACTTTTTGGTTGCACCTGTATATTCAAAGGCTTTTATGAATAGTTCTAATAGTATAAATGTATTTTTCTTTGGTGTTGAGCAGCTATATATATATTTAATGTGCAATTACAAGTGACTATATAAAACAACAATAATAAATAAAATGTCATGTATTATCAAATGTGCTTGCAGAAAAGTATAGAATGTTGTTGTTCTTGTTGTCGCTATAAATATGTCTTAAACAGTCATGGAAGCGTTATTGAAAAGGAAAGAGAGTAAGACTGATTGGAAGAGAGTTGAAAACGGAATGGAGAGCTGATTGTATGACATAAAGATGGATAAGTTTCTTTGTGTATATGTGTGTGAAGTATATTTGTTTTTTTCTCAATTGATCTTTAGTAAGCATGAGTAGTTTTCATTTTTATTTTACAGAAAAACACAATATTTATTTAAAACAAAATGCATCAGCCATTGTATGAAGATAGTTGTCGCAGAAAGAATTTTCGTGCGACGCGAAACTGTACACCGAAACCGGTTTGCTGCCATCAACGTTTTTGGTACTGCATTAGCTGTTGGCATTTTATAATTACGCACAATATACTGTAGAGTTATATTCTCAGGATTTCACCGCGTTCGATCGTTCTAAATTTTGATGTATCTAAAATGATTTTTTATTTCATTATCGTACTTTTATCTATTCTCAGGAGGGCCCTGTAAACACAAAGCATAGCAATAAATTGTATTGATTGTACGATTGATTATTGATTGAGCACTGTACTTCATGGTCAATTGCAAAATAGCACGGGGCCCAGCCCTTGTCTTTTTACCCTTATTCTCGATCGCCAGAAATATCAGATTGATTGCAATATCATCTCAGACTATCCCATGATGAAGCCTCTTGCCGTCACCGCAAATATTTTTCCAGTGTTTTTATATTAGGAAAAGGTGACACTTCAAAAATGGTCTAAAACCTGAAAGGTCATTTCAGCCTTAAAGCGACTCGGTAACATTGTTGAGGTTGATGAAAAAACTGCGTAATTTTTGTGTGAAATGTTACCTCTTATATTCTATAATAGTAAATACTCCCAAACCATATTTGAATTTTCCCAACCGTTTTTCCTTGAAAAAAAAAACAAGACAAAAGACAGGCTTTTGAAATCTTTCAACACTTTATTGTCTGGAATGGCATACAGAGCCAATTCATTGCTTTGTGATAATTTACATTCACCTAAAATGTAATCAAATTGTGATAATATAGTTGGGATAATTAAGGAATCGATCAGATCAGTTTTCCCAATTTTTATCATTTATAATGGTCTGTTTTCACTCAAACTTTCAGATTATCTTTAATTCTGCATCTAGCATTGAAGTCACTACCTTAGCACCATTTTCTCTCATCTGAACAATGTTACAAAGTCCCTTTAATAGAGAATCAAGGTTAAGAAACATAGTTAGAAGAAGATTCGGCTCTATCCAAGAGATTCACTTCCATTCATTGCAGGGTAAGCAACCAGTGGTTTTGGCAGTAGAAACAAAACGTACAATAAACAATGATTATTAAGACATATATTTAGTCACAAGAAATCTATTTATCGATCATTTTATTCCCCATCACTTTACCATCTTGTTAAAAAAGACGTATACCTCTGTGTAGCATAATCTAATTGTTTTTCGTTTATGAATTCATTTATCTTGTTACGCGAGGTTTACCCTTTTCCCAAGTTGGCATCTTGTTTATTCATATATGGATGTATTCATCTGATAATAGGATCACATATTATAAGCTGCAATTCTTTGCTGGGTGCGCATTTGAAAACAGAAATACCACCATCTGCCTGAATTTCTTGTTAACAGTTTCATCGCTTCCATGAAATTTAGAATTTATCAATTTTTTTCGCGGCCGGGTACGAACGCGGCATGGGTTGAATCTCTAGCATTCTTTCATCTTGTATCGTCGCCCTTTATAACGTTCCCCGGTGTTACATTAATATCTGACGGTTATTGCATTTTCGCGCCAATCTTCAACAGGTTTACGGGGGATTTGGTCATGCGAGATCCACAAGTACAGATGACCGCCGTCCACAAAGCCGGAAAAATACGCAATAACCTTGCCTCAAATCCTCCTG